GAATCTCCATAAGTTACAGTGCATACATATGGGGTGTTTGTCTAAGCTTATAAGCTGGTTAAACTAGCTTATAAGCTCTAAAATTAAGCTGATCTGTTTGTTTATAACTTTTTTGAGTTTATAAGTTGAGCTTATAAGCAAAAAAAAAAAATAAGTTGGGGGGGAGATTTTTTTTTTTTTTTTTGCTTATAAGCACTCTGCTTATAAGTTAGTTTGACCAAGTATATTACCACATTATCCTTGTTTAATTTTAAAATTCTATAGTATACCCTTATTTAATGTAGTACATTTTTTAGTCATTTTATAATAAAATGTACTTATAAGTCACATTTGACCAAACACGTCAACTACTTATCAGTCACTTATAAGTACTTTAACCAAACATGTAATTGCTTAAAATTTCAAATGCTTATAAGCTAATTTTAGCTTATAAGCACTTGTTGCTTATAAGCTAATTTTCATAAGCTCAGACAAACACCCCCTAAGACTATAGTGTCATGGGAAATAAACATGTGGCTCGTTCTACGGACCCAAACCACTCTTCTGCTATTACTGGATCCGTAGTACCCTTAAACTCTGAGGGTTGATGTTGACTGGAAAGACCGTAAATCGGTTCAACTCTATTCTGTACTGGAAAAGGTACTGATTGTCCTCTTTAAGACATTCGCAACTGGTGGTACCTGTACGGGGGTTTCACCTCTCCCTTGGGTTTCTGTCATGACTTGCTGTATAATTCCCCGAATTCTAGCTTCATCCAAGGGAGGGGGCGTAGACTCTGGTGGGTTAGAAGGTTCTCCTTCATTCACCACACCCTTGCCACGTTTTCGGTTACTACGCCTCATCTACAAAATAATCACACCAATCAACTCGAGAAACAATTACTGTAAGGAAAGAATTAACTCACACAGTCGGTTATAGGACGTCGTGGCGATGAAAATAGTACACTGTTCAATCCCAAAATCTTTGCTCTGATACCAAAAATGTAACAACTGCTGTAAACTAGTAAAATGCTTGCATAATAATATAGAAAATGGGCCCAAAACTTTTCTTTTTTATTAGATGTACTAAGTCTTTTATACACAAAGAGCATAATTTACAAAATGCCATTTAAAAAGACAAAAACAGGCGAAACAGTGAACTATTGCTCCTCGCTTGCCGACGCCCCTCCGACTGCATCAACACCTAGATCCTGCATCCACAAAGAAAAATAACGGGGTGAGCACAAAATAATGCTCAGTAAGTAAAACCCTCTATCTGTCTGTCCCCGTATGTATTACTCTTAATTCTTTCCTTATACTATTTCTGTTTCTATTTCTGTTTCTACTAAACGTCATGGCCTCATCTTACCGGAGGTACGGCCGGATGGCGTTCACACAGTACCATCTCACTCTCCATGACTATCGGGTGGAATTCACACAGTACCAACCCGTTCTTAGTGACTACCGAGTGGGGATCACGAAGCACCTACTCGGTTTTCGTAACTATCGGGTGGAGACCACCTAGCACCTACCCGTTTCTCATGACTTTCGGGTAACGATCACCAAGCATTAACCCGTTTCTAATCACTGTCGGGTGATGATCACAAAGCATCAACCCACTTCTAATAAATGTCGGATGATGATCACAAAGCATCAACCCCTTCTCTAAAAACTAACCGGGTGGTGGTCACAAAGCATCCACCCGTTTCTACTACTTATCGGGTGACGATCACAAAGCATCAACCCATCTCTAATGGCTATTCGGGTGGTGATCACAAAGCATCAACCCGATTCTCATAACTGTCGGGTGATGATCACAAAGCATCAACCCATTTCTACTACTCTTCTCATTCACTCTATTCTAGCATTTTTCATTCTCTCTACCCTTAGAGTAGTTGCATCCACCAAGCTCTCTACTCATAGGGTAATTGCATACACAAGTTTCCTACACTTTCTTAGGTCACTTTTCAATGCACAATTAGTGCCTATGGATGGTTCATCTCCACTAATGCACTTATGAAATGCCAACATGCAATGTTGCAAGAATTAAGGTTCACTACTCATACTCAAACCTCTATTAGGCATTTCATCAAACAACTCAAGTGCATAACAAGACTCTACTATAACAATAATTCTATGTCTTTCTCTAACCATCCAAAATGGGAGAAAACTCCCTCACATAGCCATAATTCCTGCCATAGAATAACACTTCCAAAAATGATTTCTCAATATCCTTCAATTCCATCTCTAACTACATTTCCAACCCATATCTCACTTCTCATAATTGAAGTGTATGAACAACCACAAAGCAATAATAATCTCCATTTAAAACTCAATAACATAGCATATAACATGTATATAACATACATACATAATTGCTATTAAATCTCTAATCAAGAAAGTTCTCAAATCTCAACTTGGGTTGGGATTTACTTACCTTGTGATGGAGAGATCTCACTAGCACTTCCTTTTTCTTGGTTCGCTTGATTTTTTCTCTACCCTTAGGATGCCTTAGATTGATTTTCTACCCCAAATCACTCCAAAAGCCCTCTAAAAATCCTTTAACAAATGAAAGAGAAATTGAGAGGAAGTGAGAAAAGGAGAGTGGCGGTGGAGAAGAAGAATGAAGGGTTTGCAATGACTTAATTCCTTTTAATACAATTTATACACAAGCATTCCCATTTTGCCCTTACTCTTCCTTGAAAATTCCATCCATGTCCTTTGATTCATTACAAACACACCCCCATAATAACATATTCTCCAAGAAAATTTCTTACATTTTACTCCCCACTTTCTCTACTAATTAGGGGTAGAATGGTCAAATTGCCCATAGGGAAGAAAATATCTAAAACTTAACAACAATTTGGTCGGAACGTCGTCGCGGCGAAGAAACTTCTGTCGCCGCGGCGAAACTGTCCAGCAGCTTTCCCGTGGCTTCAACACCTCTTCGCCGCGGCGAAGATTCTTCTTTGCCCCGGCGAAGCCTGGAACACAAAACTTCCTCTATTTTCAACCAATTCCTAGGCAAATATTCAACATACCACTTAATCAAATGCCAACCAACAATAATACTAATAAACCGACTCAAAAAGAGCAAAGGAAGAAACATTAGCTACGTACCACTCAATCAAATGTCAAGGTGAATTTTCTCTCTCATTAATGAGTTCAATTATTTTTAATTCTATGACCATAATTGAAAATGGTTTTGAAATCACTTTTGCGCATAGTATATAAGTCTTGAAATAATTAAAATTAACGTGGATGAGACAATCGTGCAAGCCTTGCTGATGAGAACCAACTCGATAATTGGTGTAGCGTATAAAGATGATCCCACCATCTTTTCATGGGAACTAATGAATGAACCTCGTTGCTCAAGTGACCCCTCCGGAAGGCAACTTTAGGTTAATTTCTCTTTCATGCACAAACACTATATTATATTGCTAATTTATGTAGATTAGGCAGCACATGTTAAATCCATCAATAAATTTCATATACTGGAAATAGGGTTTGAAGGTTTCTATGAAGAATCAATTCAAAGCAGGAAGCAATACAATCCTAACAGTTATCCTACTGGGATTGATTTCATTACCAATAATCAAATCCCAGAAATTGATTTGGCAACTATTCATATTTATCCCGACCAATGGTAATATATCAAGAAAAGCATCATCCTAATTATTTTTATAATTTATAATTGTGAAATATCATCTCTCACAAAGTATGAATGGCAGGTTATCGCCTAATTCCAGTGATGAGGCCTAACAAGCTTTTGTGGATAGATGGATACAAGCTCATATCTAAGACTCTAATTCACTCCTTATTCCTTAAGAAACCACTTATTATTGTTGAAATTGGGAAAATTGATAAATTTCCTGGATATAGCATTGAGAAAAAGGAACAAGGAAAAAGGAACACTTTTCATTACGGCAAAACTTGAGGGCTCGTGTTGGTGGGCTTTTTTGGCAACTCATGGTCCCAACAATGAATAAGTTTGGTGATGGCTATCAAGTTATTCTGAAGGAGAGCCCAACAACTACCAATATCATCGCTGAACAATCCCGCAAGCTAGAGTGCTTTTGGCACACTATTTTTTTCTATCATATTCTACTATCATATCCTAAGAAAATAAAATAATTACTTTTCTATTCAACTCAAAATCCAATTATATTATATTCTACTCAAAACATTTAACAATTACATTTCTCAATAAAAGTTTAAAAATTAACAAAAACACCCCCTCCCACCCAAGCCACTATCACTCGACAGTCAACGCAGTAACGACGCACGATTGACTGGATCTGACCGATTGTGTGTCGATCTATTCATTTCAGGCCAGATCTACGACCAAAGATCTCACATTTGATAGCCAGATTTGGCTGTTGACGATGGCCATATCTTGGCCATCGTTTGGCCGTCATCAACGGCAAGATCTTTGGCTGTAGATCTAGCCGTTTCCAGCCAAATCAGTACACGACATGCCAGATCCAATCAGTCGTGTGCCATTCTAGTAACTTTCGACCACCGTCTGACAGTGGTGGCCAATTGCCCGTAATTATTGGGTGAGTGGGGTGTTTTTGGTAATTTAAAAACTTTTTATTGTGAGGGGTGTTTAGTTAAATTAGCAAATATAAGGGGTTAAAAAGGAATCTAAGTGTTTTCAGAAAATATTTTCCAAAACACATTATCAAGATCCTATCCGATTTCATTAAATAGTATTCTATTATAGAATGCTATTCTAAAAAGTAAAACATCATTAAATAGTATTCTATTATAGAATGCTATTCTAAAAAGTAAAACAAACGCACTCGCACCCATAAAATAAAATTTGCCGAGTTTGTAATTTATAAGGCAAATATCCAATCAATCAAGAAAAATGATCATGTTGATTTAGCTTGAAAACTTAAGAGAGATAACATAAGTGATTATTGATAGATTTTCTTAACTCAAAAATTCACATGGCAAAATCCAGAGGAAGAATTTGGAGAAATTTCATTTGCTTTTCTAAAAGTTCCATAACCCAGTCCTCCACAGAATGAAGTGGTGATATATACATATCTATGCACCCCTGATGTTCCTCATTGCCATATCTTTGTTCAATTATCTTAAATGATCGTCCCATCTTTTATTGTTGAATTTTTCAATACTACTGTAATTCCAGATCGAATGTAGAATCCTTCAGATGGTCTCTCTGCCTCTTCCACCTTCTGCTCATACAACGTAATGATTTAATTTTGAGTTTTAACTGGATGAACGATAACTAGAGGGGAACAAATAAAGAAAATTTTATAACTTACATCCTTGTTTGCAATTATCACATTCTTTCCAATTCTTGCATTCTTGTCAATTATACAATTCCTGTATCAAAGAGAGATTCGAAATCATATGATTAATGTGTGATCATGACTTTCATGTTTAGGATTTCTCGTTTACTTTAATTGATTTTTCTTTTTTCATTTTACACTAAATATTATAGGGAAATGCCTTGTTGATTTTTAAGTGAAAGAAACTTAACGTAATTTTGGTATCTCTTCCAATGCCAACTGGAACTTTGCCTTGTGCCAAAAGAGCTGCTATTTCCACCTCAGTTTGGTAATAGTCAGCACCCATCATCATGGTATCCTGTTAGATGTAACCGTAAAATATGATACCAAAGAAGCAAGCAGTAATCCTCTACCAATTGGATTCAATGGACTAAACAAACTACTTTTGACTCTTGAAGGACGACCACACTTCAAAAAATTTAATACAAGTATAAGCAAATTCAGAACTTTTAATGAATTGAACAAGATCTAGATAGATATTGCTGTCCTCTGAATAATAGAAATGATGAAAGAGAACAAGGAATAAAGGTTACCTTTAGCTCCACACCATACTCCAGTCTTGAACGAATCCCCACAATGGAATGTTCCACACTGCACTCCCTCAAAAAGCACCCATGCGAAACTATAGAATCTTTAACCTGTAATAACAAACAGGGGTTATAAGGTCTCGAGACTCTCGACCTGTGGCGCCATAACATCTTAAACGGTATGGTACTAAGTTGAAATTATACCTGGCATTTCTCTATTTTTGTTGGAGGTAGAAAACGAGGAGATGTGAAAATTGGTTTGGATGGATCAAAGAATTGGAACTTGGGAGGCTTCAGAAAAAAGAGAATAAAAGCATCATACTAACTTGTTTTAGACAAGAAAAGACAACTGGCAGAGAATGTAAAAGAACTACCTGATCAGTCAAGGATAAATTTGCATCAAAGAAGGATTTAATAGTCCCGATATCTTCCCAGTAGCCATTGTATAGATACGCCTATCATGAAAGGAAAGATATAAAAGTGCTTGAGATGCTTTCTGTTATAATAATAGGAAACGGGAGCTCAATGCAAACTAGTACATGCATACATGTCAAATCATCCTATTCTCATCATCAAATTATTAATTAATTAAAACTTCTGCTAGATTCAAGATTCTACCTGAACATTAAAATCTTTTGCAGCCATCGGAATTACTTCTGACCCAAAATCATTGGCCTCTGGATAATGCCACCTGTAGAAGAAAAAATAAATTTAAGAGAAATAGGCATTATTCCTGTCAGCAGTCCACTTATATTCAATGACAAAAAAAAATCATTTAACCTTCATAATAACTCTGCTTATGTTTCTGCTAACTATTAAAGCAAGGAAAAACATACAAGATAAAAATGTGTGGATACTACATGTCATCACTAAAACTTGGCAAAAAATGTAAAAAAACCTCAGAAGCTTCAATAGAACTTCTGTCTTGAACAGATATACACCCATTGATGCAATGTATGGGGTATTCTTTGCTTCTTGAGCTGATAGTCCTAGAATAGTGGTGTCTACTTGCTGAGACAAAAAAAAAAAAATTTCAATCAGCTTCAATCTAGTTTCCATGGACTACTCATTCAGTAACGGATTTCTTTAGATGTTAATTTAAGGAAAAGTGGACAGGTTAACAACCATAGATCTCAAACTTTCACCCTTGGGTTTCTCTAGAAACTGCCTGATCCTTCCTGTTTCATCAATCTTCACCAACCCAAAATCCGAGGCACGACTGCAGGAAAGAAGACATTAAAAGGAACTTCAACCAAGTAATTGAAAAGCAATTATATCTTTCTAGGACGGATTGCACTCTTTTGCAAGCTATTGGTACATGCTCAATCAAAATTGGGTCTATTATGATATATAAATAATTAATTACCTGTTATCTACGGGAAGACAAGAAACTGATATATCAGCACCTGAATCAATGTGATGCTGCGAACAGAGATCATGTTTTTCAAAACAAAAGTAAAAAAGAAAATTTTACATAAAAGATGGAAATAATAGGGCAGAGAAATAACTGAGTTAGCAGCTATGGTTAACCTGCACAAAGTCCATATAATCCATTCGATAGAGATGATCACCCGACAAAATGAGAATGTTCTCAAGGTTCCTATGCTTAGCATCCTACAAACAAAACCACAATTATGCCATCAATGTTGATAACATCATATCCATAGATGTCTTTCCGACTTTCCGTCTGGATAATTAAATAAAGACATCTCTAATCAAATAGCAATTTTCACATATATTTATTCCTGTGCATCAGCAAATAGGTCATGGATTCAAGAAGAATTAATTTACATGCCTCAAACAACCAGATGAACTGTCTTACAGCATCTGCTGTACCCTGAAACCACTTCTTCCCTGATTCACCTGGCGTTTGGGTGGCTGCTAATACCTATTACCATCAGTGAAGCAGAATCGGAATCAGAAGAATAGTAGTAGATGACAGTATCTAACCCAGTCAAATGAGAAGTTTTTAGTGGTATATAACATTTGACTATCATCTCAAGTATGAGTGCGATTCAACATACCTCCACAAAACCATCACCAAAATTCACACCATTTCCCAAATTATATGTTCGAGCAATGTGTCGGTTGAGAGATTGAGAATTGAACTGGGTAAGGATATATATCTTGTTAATTCCACTGTTGATACAATTACTCATGGGGACATCTATCAGTCTATAACATCCCCCAATTGGTACCTAAAACATCACATAAAAGATCCAGCCAAAAAAGTGAAATGGTTAAGAGGCAATTGGAGTCATTCTAATCTTAAAAGAAGCATGTAGTAGTTAAGAGTTAGCTTACGGCCGGCTTAGCTCTTCTTCCAGTAAGTGGAAAAAGTCGTGTCCCGGCTCCACCACCTAATATGATGGAGGCCACAGTCTTGGGGTCTGCTTCCTGTTTAGCAAGTACTGGTGCCTGGTAACTCTGCATTGCAAGGTCATAATCACAAAGAAACGCATATATAACTGTAATGACACAAAAACAATATATAAACTATGAGCACAGAGAAAACTAAATTCCAATTTCAATGAGATAGCTGTTGATCCAAAAACGCAGGGGTGGAAGTTACCATGAAATCTTTGGCAACATCTGCAAGAATAGAATTAACCGAGAATCGTTTCGTAATTGTGGCACATCTTTTCGTGGGAATGTTCAACTTCCGTAACTGAACACCTGATATGACGCTGTTGGGCTGCCCGGCGCCCACTTTACTACCCAAGAATGAGGAAGTTAACAACACCTTTTTATCGGGCGATGGTGATGGCATCCTTGGAGATAATGAGCTAAGTCCAGGTAACTCCATTGCCATTGTTTTCTATACGTCACTTGCTCAGGAGTTCTCTTCTTCCTTTAAACGAGTTCCAGAACAACCCTCTCTTGGCTTCTGTTGTTAGGTTGCTCTCTTGTTCTATTTGCAGGGATCACAAAACAATTGGACGCATTTCAAATCTGAAGATTTGTAATTATTGCACTCATTGGGATTAGAAATCACAAGCTCAATTTAAAAATAAATAAAATAACATAAAGAAGTTACCTCCACATCACTCGATTAACGTAGCTCGCAAATTATTCTTAAAAATGTATATTAAAAATGAAAACCAAATCAAAGAATAGAATCGAAATAGCTTACTCAATCTCACTAACAACCCATTGAAAACAGGTAATTAATCACCACATGTATTAATTCTCTACCTCTGCTTTGCTTTAATGTTGATGAACGAAATTAGATTATGTTAATGTAATATTTAGAATAAAATAAAGCTCAAGTTGCCTGCGAATATAGGAAAGAATGGCTCCAACAATCCAAAAAAAACCCGGAATTACTTTTTCTTTTTTATAAAAACTTTCATTCTTAAAACTGAGTTTAAGTTTTCGAGATTCTCAACAGCTTAGAATAAAAGCCTCTACATCCAGCATGTTAACGTTTAAGGTCGTACGTCGTTTCCCTCTCCTTGGGGTTTCCGTTTTCAACGACTAAACACATGCTACAAGTCACCAAACAATAATTAAATATAAAAATATGAAGGAGAAAATTCACTCACCCTCTGACTCTCTATTCGTTGAATAAGAAGGCGGAAACACCGACTAACATTAATCTTCATTGATTATTATGAGATTTTCAAAAAACTATTAACCAAGTGTTTGAAATATTTGCACTTCATGAGAGCTACCTTCCATTATCTTTAATCATATGAAAGAAGAAAGAGTAAAAAAAACTTTTTACTATTAGATTCGAGTTGTTTTATTCAGAGTAGATTCAGGAGAGCGAATCTCTCCAGCACTTTTCCAGTGACTGACTCGTCTCTTAGTTCCTAAAATGAAGGATCAATCTGAAACAGCACAACCGCTTTTATCTGTAAAATCTTCTTTGTTACGTTGAAAGGATATTTGCATTGAGAGGAAAATTCGCAAATGGAGTTTAGGTATATTTAAGTCATTCGTTTGCTTACTACAAACTACAAAGTTAATGTACTACAGTGTCGTGAGGCAGGGGCGGACCCACATGGGGTCACGTGGGGTCGAGTGACCCCACTTGGATTTTGTTTTTTAAATTTTTTCGATTTTACCTCATAAAAAAACTAAATTACAGTAAATTAAATTAATTAAAAATGATAATATCTTTTCCTATTTTTTCCCCAATCTCAACTTTTTCTCTTGTCGAGCATGCCTCACTTCATCTCTATAATCTCTATTTTTCTCTAATAATATATTAAAATTTATGCAACCATTTAATTTTGTGTTTAGTCTATTTATGATGAAAGATTTACTTAACTTTACAAATAAATTTTCTTAATTTTGTGTTTAGTCTATTTATGATGAAAGATTTACTTAACTTTACAAATAAATTTTCTCAAGCATTACAAAGAAGAGATTAAGATATTGTAAATGTTATGCATATGGTTAAAGTGCGTAAGCAAGCTTTATAATTAACGAGGGATAGTGGATGAGAGAATTTACTTAGCAAAGTTTGTTCTTTTTTTACCAAACATGTATTGATATTCCAAATATGGATGACAAGTTTTTTATTCAAGGGTGATCACAACGGAAGACTAAAGGTATCACAAACTTGTATCACTATCATATTGAAGTATTTTATAGTGTCCTATATATTTAACTTCAAGAGTTGAATAATCATTTCACTGAGGTAAACACTAAATTACTTATTTGTTTGATATGCTTATGTCTAAATGAAAATTTTGTTGCTTTTGATAAGAAAAAATTGATGTATCTTGCTGAACTTTATCCATAATATTTTTCTAATTTAGAACTCATAACACTTGATTATCAATTTGATATTTATATTTTGGATGTACACTCTAATGTCAAATTTATGAAATTGAATAAGATTGGAGATCTTTCATTAGTTTATTTGTTAATAAAATTAGTATTGATTTTACTAGTTGTCACTGTTAGCGTAGAGAGAGCATTTTCAACAATGAATATTGTGAAAAATCGTTTGCAAAGTAGAATGAGTAATTAATGTTTGAATGATAATTTAGTTGTGTATAAAGAGAAGAATGTATTTGATAGTATTAATAATGAAGTCATTATACAATATTTTCAAAAGATGAAATCTCATCGAGAACAATTGTAAATATATTAGTTAATGAGAATTTTATTAATACAAATATTTATGTTTATTTTTATTTATGTTAATTATTACTTTAATTTTTGATCTCCTAAAGTTTCATTGTTGGTCCGCCCTGTCGTGAGGTGATCATACTTAAGAAGATAACTCTGTCTATTTAAATATATGCACACCATTTATGGACTTACTTTTTCCTTTTCTTCAGATAATCAGTTGAATCATACTTAAGAGTTAAGAAGATAACTCTGTTTATTTAAATATATGCCCAACATTTATGAACTTATTTTTTCCCTTTTCTTCATATAATCAGTTAAAACAAATATACAGATAATATAGTGCGTCACATAGGACCAAAGAGTTTCTTTGAATGAAATAGTATACTATATCACCATTAATACTTAAACATAAGAGAATGAATATAGTTAAATCATTTCAGGATTATTATCGAAACTGAATGCGTTTCTTATTTTTACCAATTAATTAACTTTTAATTGTCAAAGAATGCAGTATTAGAAATATTGCGACAATAAACAAAATGGGATTACATTTTACGAAATATTAAATATAGAAGTGTTGTAACTTCGAGTTGATTTGGAACGTTCCCATCGTAGTGGCACTTACATTTAACAGTCAAAACGATCCAGGGCTAGGCATCAAGTTGACATCCGTCTGAGCCTAATAAAAATGGACCTGACCTGGCCACAATCAAGCTCATTGTTATTGACACTAAGAGGCCCGGTATGCATGCACGGAAAAGGGAGAGGGACAGGGAGAGAGGCTAAAAATGGAGATTTAAAATACTAAGCCAAACTGTACAATAAATACATTTGAATTTTGAACAACATCACATTACTATATCTCCAAGTTCATTTATCAATCCTAAGGTTATTACAGAGATGTCCAAGTTCAGGCCTCCCATCCATCCATGATTTGAATTTTGTCTCTGCTGGGGATGTGCAGTAGAGGTACGACCTGAATGTTATTAGGAAAAAGTACCGCCTGCAAATCCACACAACCAACTGCTTACATATACCAGAAAAAACATGCTTTTGCTTAACTCAGACACACATTATATATTGTAATCATAAGAGGAAAAAAAAATAAAAATTGATAGATCAAAATAAAGAACGATCAAGTCAGAATTACACTAGAAAGAGCAGACGATTAAAACAAATAAAAAAAATTGATGGTATGTAATATCTAATTGTTGAGGCATGCAAACTAACCTTAAGGCCTTGATACCCATATCCATGATGTACCCTCGTTGTTCATCATCATCATTGGGAAACTTCTGCAGTTCTTCACTGAAATATAGAATATCATCTCGTAAATGCCCCGCACCTGCACATCTATAAAAAGAAGGAACAAACTCAGCACCATCAACTCCAAAGAGACTCACTTTCCCAAACAAAATGGAGAGACTATATATTACATGCATAATCACCCGAGACAATAACCTATAGTTATAAGATTATTGTTATCCTCAATCAAGAAAAAGAAAAGAAATAAAATAAAAAGAAGAATCAATAACAAAACACCCACAACATGCTATAACTAATCTCCTTTACATTACATCACCCATAACACTTTTTTTTTTTCTCTCTTTTGAGATACATACCGGTCAATAACAATGTCAACGTCTGCTTTGCTCTGTGGACCATAGACAAGAACTCTTGTAAGGCTTAATATGTCACGGTAATCACCCATCCTAAGTGCTTCTTTATCAGATGCCCGGGAAGGTAAGTTCTCCTCATATGCTGGAAAAAGATGTGGACCTTGTGGAACCTTTGATGCTAACTTTTCCTCAGCATCAAGTCTAAGACAAAGAATTGCCATTGCATATGCAACTCCTCCAAACCCTGTGTGTGACACAAAAAGGTAACACCCTGCAGAGCTATAAACAAACGTAGTTTTAGTATACAACATCATTCAAACATCAATAACTTTTTTCAAAAAGGAACATATCAAGAAGAATGCTAAAAGAAATCTCTATACTTGCTAAATCATGAATGTGTACCAATCAAAGAAAAAATATCAGCATCCCCACAAATCCTTAAAAGAGTTCCCCCAACATACTTTCATAAGTATTATGTTATGAAACTCTTAAAATTAAAAAAAAAAAAAAAAGAGAAAAAAAGAGAAAAAAATAAAGGACATTTAGTTTGATTCAAGAAGACAAAAAGTAATTCAATGTCATTAAGAACTTTTAAGAAAAAGTAACTTTCAGTAGTCATATGCACGAGCACAGTATGGAGCATGTTAGAACTCAAATGTTGTCGAACATTAACCAATAACATTAAAGCTTTTAAGTCAAGTGATTATGGTTAAAAGTATGAAATAAAGACACATTACTGATGGTGTACAGTTCAGTTACGGATACTTACTCATCTCTACAGTACTGGATAGCATCAACATCAGAAGCTAAAGCATCCCTCTCTCTAGTTAACGGTATCCTTCTATATGTTATAATATATCCGTCATCTTTTAGAGCAGCATATACTTCAGCAGGTGTTTTCACATCATCCACAAAGATGTTTTCCCAGTATCCTATGACACTGGACTGATTTATTTCTGGAATATATTCTTCACGATGTAAAAGCATTCGACCACCAGAAAGTCTGATCTCAGATAATATATCTTCTTTTAACCGTGCCTCCAGGTGTTCTACCTGAAAAATAGTACAAAAAAAAGGAAGTTGAGAAACATTCTTAGCTGGCTAACTACTATTCACAGATAAGAGACATGTCAATGATGACAACCACTGGGCCAGTAATTCCCACGTGCTTGAGCGTATCAACAGGTTTGTTAAGCTCCCTGAGGACAAATGGTGTGCCATTAATGTAAACAACCGCCTCCTCTCTCAGATCAGTCAATACCACTTTCTGAGAAATTGATCCTTCAGCTTTGGGCTTGGCACCTAAATATGCCAACATCTCTTTAGCAGCAGTAATTGTTGGAGTTGCCATACTATACACAGGGCATCCATCCACCTGAAGCAAACAAAAGTTTTGAGCTTCAAAAATTCGCAAATCTTTTATCATACCAACTTCCTCTCTCAAAAACCGATTCATAAGGTCTTTATGTATGTTCAAGTGGACTTGTGCATCATACGAATTTAAGATTCTGAATTAAGCAAACTAGCACGTAACCATATAGATTACTTTAACCAGACAATCAAATGATAGCCAAAATGGACCTCTAACCCATCATCAGGCAAGCATATACAGAACCTCAGAAAAACTATTGTGAATCCATCAAATACATTAGCAATTCTAGTTTCCAATGTGAAATTCGAAGTGCAGCATCTCATTTAGTTTATGATAGTTCTCTTTCATCGAAGAACATGCACAAGATGTATAACAATTTAGAGACTGATAGCACCATTTATAGCATATCATTTGGATCTTTCGGAGGTTGGATTTAATTTTATAGCATCATTTATGTCATGTCAATCTAAGCAAAAACTATTAGCCTTTCATTATATATATAACCCCACAGAAAAATACCTTGTAAACATGCGGTGCACCATGAATTTGTATGTGGCTGGAAGTTCTCTGACCTGGAAAGAAATACATTTTCAGTATTGAACCTTTACCCAAGACAGAGCCATTACGGTTCTTTACAATGGCCTCCATCACTGCATCTCCATGCTGAGATTCATGTGGTGCTCTCAGTTCCTCCTGCATTCAAAAATTGAAGTTCATTATGCAAGCACTTCCAAGTAATGAAAGAAAAAGTTAACAACGTTTGAGAAGTTATGTGTTATTTAGCCCTCAAGTTCCTATGTTAGTAAGGAGAAGAGGAATTACAGGGACAGTGAAAAATCGCCCTGGTCTCAATCTTATGCTCCATTTCATTGCTTGGACCTCTGGTCTTTGACGCAACCAAGTTTTGAAAGTCATCTTTGATTCTCCTTGTCCACAAAACCCATCAAATGATTCACTTCCAAGATATGCAGCAAAGGCAATTAAACGGAAGTATCGCTCCAAGTACTCAGCACCACGGTTCAATGCTACCCTTCTAACCCTTGGCTCAACATGCTGTTGATTGAATATCTTCCTATAATGCAGGACGGCTTCGCGTATGTTCTGCAAAGCAGAACATCTATCGATAATAGAATCTAAGGCCTCACGGCATTCCACTCCATTATCAAATAATCTTGTTATCTTCCACAAAAGCAGGATATCATCCATGCCGAATGCATGGCCTTCATCTATTTCAGTTCTTACTTTTGTGGTCCTGGAGGTTGATGCAGCACCATTGCCTCCAGTTTCTTCACCACTTGAGCTACCACTATCCAATTCTTCATGGACCATATCATCAAGTAAAACTTTAATAGGTCTCCCATGATCAATACGAAGCTTCAGAAGGCATGCAATAACAGTACCAGTAGTTGTTCTTCCTCTACCCATCTGTGAAAATGAAATAAATAAACAGAGAAAATACAGATAAGAATAAAAACACACAGGCACACCCGACAAATACATAGAACATAATGAACACCTCGACGCAAATTTACAATTAAGTCTTAATTAGAATGTAAATGCTTTAACCTGGCAATTGAAAACAAAAGCGGTATCCTTAGAAGCAGAAGCAATGTTCATTGCCAATGTGTCAAAGTCCGAAGTCTTGGGAGCTTTACCATCAGTGATTGGCACACGTGCATACTTAATGGGAAAACCATCATCCTCTAAGCATTTGAATACCTCAAGCGGTGTCTGAACAGAGTCAAAACTCACATGTTCCCAAGCATCGAATATTTGCCCATCATCCGTTTCATGAATAACCATTATAGCACCACCATAACGTTCAGCTTCTCGCAGAATATCTTCTTTTAGTCGAGCTTCCATTCTCTCCACTCTCTCGCGATCAATTCCCTGAATGTAGATATCATAATTTCAACTTCACCAATTAGGGCTGAAAAGGATGAGGGGGAAGATTCAGAACATCTTTGGGGGAAAAGGGAAAAAAATAACAATACACTCAAAAAAGGAACCATGAATTGCCATGTTAGAAGCCAAACTTGTTCAATTTTTTTAGGTCATAGCCAAAATACTTCAAGATATCCTTAATGTGATATAACTTCAGTTAAAATGCTCATTCAATATCTGCTAAACACATGATGGAAATATAGTGAAATTTGTGATATGGCAGTAACACAAACATTCACACTAATAACTTATGTATCCTTTCTTGTACTTTTCCTGGTTACAGAAGATTATTGTTGGTGCTGCATCTGTAACATGGCTAGTGTGCCTTGTGTGAGTATGCAGAGAATTAGATAGAAAATTTGAGTGCAGTCATACAAAGTCTTTGTTTTGCTGCACCAAAAATGTAAATGCATCTGGGCACCATTCTGTGAGAAGGCTATGCATTTTGCATTTTCAGAAAACACATTGACTAAATAAGGGCTAGGTCTGGCTTCAAAGACAAATTTCTATCATGTATTGGGCAACGATAGAATCACTTTTTTGTAACATCTGGTGCCATCATACTGTAATGTAGATGGAAGCTAAAAAGCAAAGTCCACACTAAGGCTAGAGCACATCATTTGCACTTTCCAATTCAACAAAATTTAGATATATAACAAAAAAAAAATAGTATTATACCGTGTACTCCAGCATATTTTTGTAAGGTCTTTCAACTTCACGGAGAACAAATGGTTTCCCATTGATGTAGATAACAGGTTCTTCTCTCATATTATGCCAGAAAACTGGGCAACAGCCTTTAGAGTTGCCAATCCTCCTAATGACAGATCGAATGCCATCAATAGTTGGATTTGCAACGCCATAAACTGAAAACCCAGGAACTTGTCTGAAGTTAGGTGCACCCTCCACTCGATCTGGTAAACTTGGATTTTGACAACCAGGACAATGATCACTTTTGAGAACAGTTTGGCTTCCAAGTACTTGTCCATTTCTCAGAGCAGCAACAACATCCATTTCATGAGGGCGGCCATCAGCAGATTCAGCTATCTTCATCACAGATGGCTTTAAACTTGCATACCCAAGAGCACCCATTGGATCTCTCCTCAGCAACCTATAAGAGAGCAAAATTTGCAGCAAAGGAAGTTACCCAAAATGCAAGACAACAACGATCATTGTCTAAGATGATAATATGTGCTCTGATTTTTCATTGATAACAAAAAAAAAAACTAATATCACCGTTGGATTATCATCAATAGTGACACTTCTAACATGATCTGAGGTGATGTGATTTTAATAAGTAAAAAAGAGTAAAAGAACTGATAAGAGCTCAATGAATTCTTAAATGTGGCAGAGGATCAAAAGCATGTTGAAATTCCAATAATGCTGACATGCCTGAATTGAGAATGTCAAGATAGATCTACAAGAATTTTAAGGATAGTTTAAGAATTGAATACAGATGCAGAAAGTAGAGGTAGCATGTATCAAGTATAAGCTAGGAGAAGTTCAATTGAGATAAACTAATCAAGTGCAACACAGACCAATTGATGCTCTCGTATTAAAGAGTGAGTTGAATAAGCGGTAGGTACAAAAAGAAGAAACAAAGTAGTACATGTTATGTTTTCATAGTGTACAAAAGATCGAATTTCTGGACAACTATAGACTAATGGCAAAGAATGGGGCAGAATGAAAGGAAAAGACACAAGTAATTGACTCCAACTAGTTTTGATTAAGACTAGGTTCAGTTAAATTGAGTTAACGCATGTGAATGGACGAGTTTGTATCTAGATCAGAAAGGTAAACTTTTACATATTATTCAGTTATAAAAGTACCTGCGGATAATGCTATATAGCTCAGGCCTTGCTTTCATCCAGTCAACAAAACTGCTATGACCAAAAGAACTAGAACGGAGGGCTGCTCTCTCTGAATGAATGTATACAGCAAAGCATATTAAAAAGTAATATCTCTCCAAGTACTCCACGAAAAATGAAAGTGATGCCTCCCTCTTCATCTCATCTGGTTGATGCAGAATACTGTTACGATAAGTGGCAATTGCTTCACGCAGGTTCTGTAATTCAATTAAAGAAACACTTCAAGGGGTAGTAACAGCAAAATGAAATTAAAAACAAACCTGAAATATAAGTAGTACCAACATACTATGCAAACAAACTGCGTGGAAGAAACTTTCATATTTGACAATAACAAGAACTTAGAAGCTATACCTGAACGGTTTAGGGTACTTAGAGAGCCATACCTGCATGGAGGCACACTTGTCAATGACTTTATCCACTTGTCTTTTGCCTTCGACACCACCCTAAAGGCCATTTCACTTATTCAAGAGCTCAAAGAAAATGATAAATTTCCAACTAAGAGAAACAAGAGCTAATAGTATATACCTCTAAAACCCGTATCAAGCTTCTAATGACAACATATTCTCCTCTACGAACTGCCTCCTCTGAGTTTGGCAAATGTTCAGGAATATTGGAACCAGAATCAAAAACACGACCAATTGAATTTGTTCTAGGGATGCCTATAATATGTGAACATATTGCATTAGAATATAGTATCATTAATGAAATCAATCTGCTATACCTATATAGTATTGCTCTCTAATAAGATACTATAACTGTTAGACCTAATTACTAAATCATCTGAAGATGAAATCACAATGCCATGTTCGAATCAAGCCTAACATCTACTGATATCAGGCACTGACTTAAGGAAAATAGTGGCAAAAAATAATAACTTAACTAGTAGAGAACAATAAATAGCTTTGATATAAGTGATGAGAGATGCCAACTGCAAAGTTGACAAATCAGTTTAGAAACAATGAAATCAACCCAGACATAAACCTAAAGTAACGTAAAAAAATTTTAGGGTTGTCTTAAGTTGATAACAGCAATGGAATATTATAGAGATAGTAGAAAAATGTGTAGTATTTTTTAATAAAGGAAGTTATTGGTTACCAGAATTTTAGTATTTTTGAGTAAAGGAAGTTATTAGTTACCAGAAGCTCCAATGCGGTTGAGGTAAACCAACGTTGCAATCACCATCCCTGTTGTAGTTCGTCCACGTCCCATTTGACAGTTAAAAATTACCTCTGTATTTATGTCGGCTTGAGAAATTTTATCAACCTTAAAATGCAATGAAAGAGCAGGCATATTATTTATGGAATATTATTCTGCCAGTCATATTCCATCACTTTAGCAGAACTACTTGAAAGCCCAAGAACTAATGAAACAATTTAGAGTTGTTAAAATTTTTGACAAATATGCAAGTGATGTAATGAGAAGAATACCACAATTAAAAGAAACATTACCAAACAAGATGATGCACAGAGGATATAATTGCAGCAAATTAGAAATTAGAACCATAATGCACTTACAAACAGATCATTCAAATAATCAGAAGAATGGGTACTTATCAAGCCAAAAATGAGAGTGAGAGATATCAAAGAGAATAGAATCTTCATTTTTTTTTCCAAAGGTAGACACCAGATGTGGGAGCAAATAGTTAATAAAATCACAAAAGGTTAACTCATAATTCACATGAACAAATAAGCTATATAATTTTTTTTATTTTTTTTCAGTAAGTTAATGGAAGTAAAAAGAAGCCTTATAAATTACTAAGAAATAAGTGTGAAAATAAGACTTAATGATTAAAACTCACCAAGATATCAAAATCCTGTTCTTTTGGTGATTTTTCATCAGTTACAGGAACACGTTCATAATCAACAAGGTAACCTTCTACCTGCAGTTCCTCATACACCTGAACCAAAGAGACAAATTTGCAACCATAAGTAAATTGGTACATAAATCATGTTTCCTCATTGCAAAAATCTAAAGCAAGTTCAAAAGACTATACATCAAGTGGTGTCTTCACAGAATCACTCGATACTGGTTCCCATTGGTCCACCATCTGACCATCTGGCAGTTCATCAGTGACAAGGATCTTATTTCCATATCTGTTATGTCAGATGTGCAAATAAGATTTGTGATTATGCAAAGCAAGAGTAACTGATGGGAAAGCCAAATATGAATACTCGTGAGAGAAAAGACCAAGACAGCCATGGACCAATGAGAGTACCTTGCAGCTTCCATCACGATATCTTCTTTCAATCGAGCTTCCATTTGCTCAACCCTAGCCCGGTTGATTCCCTGATTCAAAACAAAAAGATACAACTGATTTGCAAGAAATGTAAGCTATGATAATCACTAGTGGACCTTAGTACATGGGTTTGCTTGCAAGTCCATGCATATGCATATGTGTAACATAAGGTTAGCTAGACTGCATGTTCCATAACATAAATCCCCTAAATCTTCCCGAATAACACAACCATCATATACTCATAAAAGTCCCATCATACCATAATTTACCAAAAGAAAGTAGCACGCCAAGGACAAAGTTTCCAAACACATACAGTAGTTCAATATATATTATTACCATATGAAAGAAATCATGCAACGCTTTATTTTATCTTGGTTTAGTTTCTTACATTAATATCACAAAGTCACTCAAGAAGCAAACATATGCTGCCCATTAGGTACTAAGATATAAAAAATAGCATCATATTCACAAGTGCTAGAATGCTAATTTATGTAGAAGTATATAATTGAAAAAAAAAAAAAAAGAATTTATGTAAATATGTGCTGTCAAATTTCCTTAGAATTAAATACCGTATACTCGAGGTTGGAAAAGGGCCTCTCTGCCTCACGCAAAACGAAGGGACGCCCATTAATGTACACCACCTGTTTCAAGAACATAATGTTGTATTAACATAAAAAATAATTCCAATATACTAATCATCAGTGAAATTATTTTATCACAGTCATGCAAAGCCCAAATATCAACTAAATCATAATATTATGATCATATACTTATCAACATAAATAGATATTATTGCAACAAATAATTTTACCGGTTCCTCGCGAAGGCTAATCCAAAGAACATGCACTTTCTTTCCTTCTTTCTGGGCTCCAATATGCTTGAGAACATTATGAATCCCTTCAAGTGTAGGAATCGCAACACCATGAACACGTAATGAGTCAGCCTACAGTAACCATAAAAGAGTCAAATAAAGAAAATACAAATATGTATGAGAATTTATTTCTTCATGAAACAGATCAACAATCTAAAGAGATGCAGCACACTACTAATCAAGCATGAGCAGCATCTGCATCAAAAAGATCTACGTAAAGAAACTCATAAACCACAATGCAGATTAACTAATGCATTATAAAGCTTTAAAGAGTGTATCAATAAACGCTAGCAAATCCCAGTACTTCAAACTGAATGTTAAGTTAATAAAGCCTGCGACTGCATCTGGTATAGGATTGAGCTATAAAACTGAAATTGGATGGAATTCAAGTGATATTTTCAATTCCAGAGATCTAATTCCATGATCTCAAACATAGCATTGCTGTTATTGTTCTGTTTTACCAAGCCTATGGGGATAAGTAAAGACACTTTCTGTTACCTATTTACTAACTTAATTTGGCTAATAATTAAACAGAGAAATAAACTGATATATTACATAGAAATAAATCTCTGATATATTACATAGAAATAAATCATTTATTTGGTTTAACGTTAAACCCGAACTAAAAAATTAAAGAAAGTATGAAAATCAGTTAAGCGTCGCACCATTCCCGTCATGTAAATAATGCATTCCGCAAAATCGTGATAGAAAACGATGAGATGCAAACTCAGATATTTTGCTATCAGATAAAGAATTGTAATAACAATTAACACGAATCATTATTATTTCAATTATTAAAGAAAAGCGGAGGGAAGAAACCTGACGGTAATTGGGAGCACCATCGATCTGAGGGGTTAAGCGTTTGTTTTGGCAGCCAGGAAAATGGTCGCTCTTGAGAATGGTTCGTTTGCCCAAAACTGATCCCCCTCTCATCTTCATCACCTGCTCTGGCTCTTTAGGTATCGACATTTCTCTTTTAATTTTACACTTTCACTACTAGTATTCACAATCCAACCCACAAACTCTTAAAAATTACTATATTTATCTCCTATCAATTATATTACCCAGACACGAGATTCCAACTACTAAATCATTCTATCCTATAACTTGTTAATTGAATGCAACCGAAAGCAACAATGCTTCTCTTAAAAACTATTACACAGCGAGATGACGAAAGAAAACAGAACAGAAGAGTGAAGGAGGATAAGAGTAAAATTGAAAAAAAAAGAAAAAGAAAAAGGGTATCACCTCATCTAATCAACAAGACCCAGGTAGAGATAGGAGTAAATATTTATTGGTGCATGTGGCAAAATTTGAGTTGTGGGGTGAGGGTTTTAGATTGGTTTGTTTTGTGTGGGACTCCTGACATTACAACGTGAAAGGCGTGTGGTGAGGAGATTTCTCTTTTGTTTTTGTTCTTGTTTTGACTGTTAATTTAAAAACGCGCATACTACAGTGGATATTCTTTTCCACTGGCTATGGATGCGCCTGTTAAGTACCCACCTATACTTTCCCTTCCCTTTCCTCTATGCCCCTTAACTTCAATTTCTTTTACACAGTCTATTTCAAAAATAACAGGATTTTAATTTGTGATGTTTTTCACAAGATGTTGAATGTTATTTTCATATCGAAAAATTTAATGTAACGGTCAAAAAGAAAAATACGTAACACGTGGCACGACTCCAGTTGATAGCTTAAAATAATGTTTTTTTTTATTTTGGGGGAGTTTGCTTGGAGCGCACGTATAAGAATTGTAAAATTCTAGAACGTATCAGCTTTACAGAAAAAGCGGTATGAAAAGGTAGCATCTAACGTCGAATTTGTACGAATTTTGTAAATTAAATCTTGTAAAAAGTTTAAAAAACAGTAGTCAGAATCAGAATCCGGTTGGCTTGCTCATGTGACGTGCTTCAATTGTTATTGTCACCCTGCTTGGACAGCTATGTAACTGTTATCCCTTCTAAACAACCTTTTGCTTTATAGATCCCAACAATCATTTTAATATTCCGAAATTTTATAAGCCGGTCTTATCTTTACACCTAACAAGCTAAGACCAACGATTTGACTCCCGGGAAACTGTGAGCTTGATATTTTTTTTTTTTTGAAAAAAGACTAAACCAACTTTTTATAAAGAAGTCGCACTGCGTTAACCACATGTTCTATTTTAATTTTTTTACTTCCTCGTGGTTCATGGGCTCTTATTTTTTTACATTGCCTTCAACGGATTATGAACTTGTGTTGGAAGTTGGAAACCCAACCAATCGAAACCACAGGCAACAGAAAACTAGTCCATGGTTTGATGAATCATAACTTTATTAATAAATTGAAGAGTAGTATTATTTAAGTCTCACCCAAACTTTTTTTTATTTTTAAAGTCGTAAAATCAATCAAAAATAAATATATTTTAGTTTATTTTAAAATTACTCTTTTCTTAATATTTTAGTTTATGAAAACACACGGAAAATAATTCGGTCCAACTCTCTGGCCTACAGAGTTATGGGTATGTGTTTGATTGATTTCTTCCACTAACCTGGAAAGGGTGGGCTATCAACAAGGCCCATGGGCTATCAACAAGGCCCATGGGCTATCAACAAGGCCCATGGGCTATCAACAACCTCCCTTACACTTAGCAGAAGTAGCGACTTCCTACGTCATAATTATGGTAGCAGGAAACCTGCACCCTTTAAATTACTTTTTAATTAAAAACATTTATGTTGAAGTAGCTCTTGATCAAATCAATCAAACGTGCCTCACTAGAGAAAGGCAGATAAAAGGAAAATTGTATTAGAGCAAACATGAAAAGCAGCAAGCAGCCAAGTTAAAAATACCGTGGACTATAACAAGTTGATAAATTATAAAAAGTACAAACGTTTCCATTTTAACATACAACACTAATTGAATCTGATTTGCATCTTTAATTGAGATCATAGATACAGCTAATTCATGCTTAGACACAGTTTATCCACCAAAATATGTATTTGATGCATGAATTAGGGGATTTGATGATACAACAATCTGCGATCAAACTGAAGCATCCCCAAGAGTGTCCTCCATGCTCACTACCTCTCTCACAAGATTTTTGGATGACGGCAGACCAGCAACCACATCCTCTTCAATGCCACACTCATTTGTTCCTCTCTTGATCTTGAAGTAACCATCCTGTCACAGAAACATAAGCAGAAATTAAGGACTGAAAAGACAGAATCTTAGTGCAGTCAATTAGTTATTTAATGTGGAAAATTTTTAGAAGGAAAACATACATCACCCCAGCCTTTGTTCCACTGATTGGCAAGAAGCTGCAACAGAGAAGAGTATTTGATCAAGATATTATCTCAATAAGTTGTAATGAATGGTCACAAAATTTAAAAATTCATGACTGGAAAATCTCAACATACCCAGTAATCCTCTCCATCATCACTAGTTCCCCACCCAATTAGCTTAACTGCATGACCTCCCATAACGTCACCAGTTATGTGTTTGTAAACACCAAACTTGTAATGAGCGAAATCCTGGCAAAATGATAAAGAAGCTATTATAATCAAATCACATGTATTTTTCAAAAAAAATCAATCTGGTTTAAAAGATACTATTAATTCATAATAAGGGGGGCATTTTTCATGGTACAAAATAAATGACAAATAAAAGGAGAGACCAACAGAAAGTAGACTGATATTGGGTCATAATTTTTCAAAATTCAGCAATACACAGGAAGCTAATCTGACCATGTTAAGATTCATGTCCACAAACATTGAAGCAAATACAGCCACAGGAGTATAAAGCAAGTAATGGTTTTACCTCATATACTGTGAAGGCAACCTCAACAGGCCCATTCTTATAAACTTCTGCCATGATGTTGTGTGGATTAGAACTGATTCTATATGCACTAACACTGTAGTGCTTTGAGTCCCTCCAGAGCTGGTTCTTGTTGACACATTTCCTCACACACTTTGGTGTAGGATATGCAGGCTCACAACCAGGGTGGGAACAGCCAATATCATCAAAGTAAGGATCACACTTCGCCAAAGAAATTTTTGTTAGTTATTTGAACATATCAGCCATAAATAAGAATTAGTAAAAGAAAGTAATACTCTTCATCAAAACAATAGTCAGGAGATTATGAAACAATCTGGTGTGCCGTATGGAAAATAACAATACAAATAAAACATTGCCAAAAACAATAAATTAATACCTCTTCGGTGACAACACCATGGTGGACAAAGTATCGCCAAGCATAAATTGGATAGCCCCCGTCACAACCACCTCCACACAAAAAGCCACAGCATGCTAAAAGATCATTCACTGATAGGGATATGTTCTGCCATGAAATATATTGTGACAGTGAATATCACAATAACAATCATACAAAAATTCCAAAGGACAAAAGATATTGTCAAGTTGTTCAGGAGAAGTTCAATTACCATGCCAAAATGGATGCAGAAACGATCAGATAGTGATTCAACAGCACCAAAAGCCCAACAAGAGCCACAATGACCCTGAATCACCAAAACCCCAAAACAGCTCAGAGTTTATAACATTCATTCAAATGTAGTCATAGAAAAACACTATTACACCAAAAGCCCAAAAAGAAACACAACAACCCTGAATCAACAAGACCCGAATCATGGTAAGAATTCATACAACTCATTCATACAGAGATATAGGAAACAGTATTACCTGATCTGCAATATGAAAATTGTTCCAGCATTTGACAAAGAAAATGTGAAAGCATTAGAGTCATTTTCAAATGAGTTTCAAAATATCAAGAGGGAAAAAAACAAAAGGATGCGAGTAACTAACCTAGAATTCTTCCAATGCTGCTACATTGTGACCATGCGGTTCTTGCATCGAAGCTCTTTGGCAACTTTAAGGATTTATCATGAGTTATGACAGGAATACCCAAAAGTTCCTTTTTGGGTGTTGGTTTGGCTCCCAGAAGGTACTTAAATTCACCAACCTATGCATCAAGAAAGATATTTCATCAACTGTATCCTTTAAAATTTATCACAAACAAGATCCTCCAGTTTCAAACTCACAGTGTAATTGGAAAATCTAGGATTTCTAGCAGCTTCCCATCCGGCCTTGGGATTTTCATTTACATGCTTGATGATAGAATCCTGTATGTCCATGGTGAGACCCAAAATTTAATAAATTGCAACTAAAGAAAATAAAATGAAGAAAGCATGCTCTTTTTGCATTAAAGAAAAATATGTGCTTTAGATCACCTGAAGAATGTGAGAGTTAAGCTTGAGTTGGTGAATCGGTCTCTCTGAGAAAGCCTGATAACAACACAACACCCAATTGTCAAACAATAACCTTTAAAGCTTAGAAACATAGTAATCTTAGAAGTTTTCTCCGGAGTAGAAAGAAATTCCTTATAATAATATTTTTTCTTGTTTCTTATAAAAATAATTTTAATCCAAGCAGTTCGATCATTATTTCTAAAGAAAAGGTATCCAGAACTTTTACAAAACATATACTTTAAGACATGTTTAACCACGGAATTTAACCAATAATCAGTTTAGTTGTTACAGAACTTATCAGAAGCTCCATCACCATCAGCAAGCAAGATAGTAACACTAATTGTACAAATCTCAAAATTTTGTACTTATAAAATTTCATGGTTTCTTCTCATATATACTATATATTACAACTAGATCATTCATCTTATATCATTTATTTTTTACTTGAAGTTCGTTTACTTTATCAACTAAGAAAATAAAATACCATCAATCATCGTTCATTAAAAAATAGTTGAATCTAAACTAATAGTAACTTTTGGATTAAATCGATCGGGTCTCGCATGGGGCATGAACAGTGATCAAGTAATCAAGAATCCGTGAAAAAAATTAGAAATATAAAAGGAAAGAAAATCTTATAAAGAACATAATAGAAAAAAGCACCTGGGCCGGGAAGGCGGCAAGAAGCAACAAAAGGGTAGCGGAAAAGAGGTGAGAAGGGGTCATGGTTGAGTCGCGGAGGTTGAAGAGAGGGGAAAGAATCGGTTGAGAAATAGAAGAGTGTTCCTTGAATTGTGAGCCAAATCCCTTTACTATTGGGATGGGAAGGATGAGGATAGGTTGATTTTTAACTTTTTTGTTATTTTAATAATGGACAAAACACCAATAATGTAGCGAGATGAGGAATCTCTACTCCCTGTCTTTCTCTCAAGTGCATGGAAAAGGAAAACTAACCCTGTTTACAATTTGCTCACGCTACCTCATTAAGACCAGATATTTATCTTTAAGTTTTTCTATCTTTAATAAGAGATGACAATTTTTTTTTTTTTTTTTTGTCTTTTTATGATCTAGTTAAAATTTCTATTAACACCTCCGACTCTATAGAAGGATTATTTGAAACTATTACTCTGATACAACTAAGATAAAGAGTTTCGATAAGTACGTTTAATAGTATTGAAAAAATAAATTAAACTCAAAACTTCTTAAATAATATAATATATCTCAAAGTCTGTAACAAACCAATAGATTTTCAAAGATTATTGAGATGACAATTTTTATAACTTAAAAAGCTCTGTTCTGATTATGATATTTTTCTTCAGGATGACAAAATAAGTCGGTGGAATTGTGTGGATCAGTTCATTCAGTTGGGTAAATCCTATTTTGGTGTTTCAAAATTAATTCAAGATTTTTCAAGTGCATCAATCATACCCTTTTACATTCCATTATTTTCGAATTTAAAATTCGCAAACTATTACTAAAAATTAATGAAGCAACAAATATGATCTGCCTGCTTGCTGACAGCTGCACCTTCTTGTAACAAATTTCAGTCACCACTTATGGGCCGAGGTACAACAACAATTACTATAACGCCTATGGGCCTGAAAAGGGAGAAGGGTAAGGGAAACATAAAAGGAACCAATACTTAATTGAGCAATCTTACTATTAGAAGGAACCCCCGGGAGAGATTAACCTAATCAGTAATTGCCAACATTGTAGTCCATATCATATATCTATACAAAATATTGCTGCTCATTTAAACTTCAAAGAGAGCAGGGGCAAGACAAATAGTATTCCTTCAACTCATGAAAAATAAAAACACAGATAAGGAAAAATTACTAGTATCTTACCAATACCAAGCCACAGAAAAACATAGTCAAGATAACCTGTGTATTTTTTTTTTTTTTTTATCATATAAAGCAAAGTAGAAGTGTCTAAACAAACTGTGTCAACTCAATAACTGAAATTTTTTATTACATATAGCATTATTCACAAATGTATTTAAATCGTTTTAGCGATTTGGGTATAGAGTAGAATTGGCAGAACTGCCATGCACTTGGACTTGTACGATCCCTGCAGAACCATCACGGTTGTGCTGCAAAGCTTCAGTTAAAGTCTTGAGTGCCTTGTCATAAGATATGAACCCCATAAGCCAAAATTCATAGCCATCTGTAGTGACAATATGGATGTACTTCTCAGAAGGGTTCAATCTGTTTGCAGAAGGATTCACTGTTCTCAACTTATCAAGATCCACCACCACCTAGGTATTGTCACACAGTTCAAGAAAGGAATATGCAATATTAAATTCCAGACCACTCATATGGAAAAGTGTACATTGGCTTTAAAACCATCAAGACACTCGATATTGTAGACTTTATAGTGTAAGTTTTTATTGTTTGTTTTCTTCTTCTTTTTTTTTTTTCTTTCTTTCTTTCTGAGAGAATCCTAGATTATATTAAAATCAGTGACCATGCAAAAGGAGTTTATTGGAGCTTCATTTAGAGGCAATTATTTTAGCTGTGCTCTTCATCCTGAAACTGAAGTTTTCCACTTAAAGTACCATATTGCAATAGACATTAGAACATAAAGGGCAGCGCACAAATAGTAAGATTTGGACACTTATAATTTTTTCTCCCATTTCCAAAGCAAGGCAGTGGCCAATTTATGCATTGACAGTAGTTGGTACCTCAAATCTATCCTTTTATATGCCTCACAGAAATGACAAAAACTAGATTTCAAACTGCCCATGAAAGTATGAATGACTGAAATAAATCCTGTTCAGGATGTCAATTTATAGATTAAAGTACGCAAAATTCCATTGAGTTTCAGCAAAAAAAAAAAACTGAAGGTGATACCTTGTAATACATCAACTCCTGCTGCCCTGAGGAAGAGTAATAACAGAGGGGATAATCACTGCAAAATGCCATTCTTTTAGTTGATATATAAAGTGTCCCAATTACTGGTCCAGTGGATGTTGATAGATAGCAAGCATATGCCTTTAAGAGCTTCTCTCCTGGCAATATCTGAAACTCTTGTTGGAACACCTTCTCATGCCCTCCTTCTGTTAGCACTTTCGTTCCTTGAGCAAGCCTTGCCAATGCTGCATCGCTGAGCCTAGGACTGACCTTGACTATCGACATATAATAAATTACTTGTTGATCTACCATGCAATCAGAAAGCTATCATGATTTCCACCAAGATAAAAAATTTATTCCTGAGCACTTATAGTTGGTGAAACATTTGCAGTATTTCATATCTTGCCAAAAGACTAGAGAAAATAGTCATGGCAAAATTTTACAGCAAACACAACAGAATATCTAGACAGTTCTTTCTCCAATCGTGTATAAAAGGTCTACTGAAGAAAACGAGATATCAGCAAAAATACAGAGGCAGGGATTCCCCAAAGTCAAAATTATTAAAAGGGAAGAACTATGCAACAACACATTGCAGAAGCCTAGTCATTCTCCAAAATCAAGAAGAAAGAATAAAGGATATATAAGAGTACTTTGAGACCCAATTTGCAAACCATAATGGAGAAATGATACACAAATGAAACAGAAGTATGCTATTGAGGCTAAGATGATAGATAAATCTACCCACCCGTACAGCCATGTACTTGGCTCCGTCCATGCATAAGCATATAAAGTTTTTGAGCAAGACACAGTGTATGGCTTGAGATAAAAAAGATTGAAGGACCTTAGAGAATGAGATAAAAAGAGAAGTGCAAATTATTTTTGCCATCCAAACATAACACGGACCACAACTTTGAGGCAAGTTGAATCCTAGATTATTTAAACGTTGCATCCCAAGTACTTGTAACTCACGCTTAGAATATAATACCCAATAGAATCGTCCAACCAAACGACCACTCATTAGGACCACAACCAATCTAAATTAATCCATTTTACCTGATTTTACAAAAAGAACATAAAAGAGTATTCACATAAGTTCTCTACAAGAATTTACGTACTACGTGTTTATCACTGTCAAGCTCTATAAGCAGACTCAAAATTACACTATCCTACTGCAAATTGAATCAAGGAAAAGTTGTAGGTGAAGTAAAGGTGATCGCTTAGTCCTAATGAATAGAGGCTATCACAATACATCATCATGGAGAGCATGATGTCCGATAAACTAGAACGTATATAATCAAGAATATGTAAAATCCTGATAAGCTAGTAACCAGTCTTCATAAAACTCAAACAAACAAATTGGGGTATTAATAGCGAATACTTACGGTGATTCCAGACGTTATCAGCAATCGCCTCTGCTTTTCTTGTGGCATCTTCGACCCTTTTCGCGCACCTATTCAACATCTCGCAGATTGTATCGATCGGCCCTGAAAGAAAACCAACACTCAATTTGTTAACTAAATATAGCATGATCGTTATCTCCCAGCAACAAGAATTAAACCAAGATGATTAAATTCACAACTCACTCCTATCAGACGCATAATGAAAGGAAAGATGGATATAAGGATTGTTGTTATTGTTCGAACTCATGATGTAGGATGTGGCAGGGGTAGCACGGGTGTTTATCTTTTATTTGCTCTGATTGATTGTAGTGTAGTGTATTATTTGAAGTGGTTTTGTTTAAAATGTCGGTTCTGGGAATCCAAATAAAGTAAAAGGTATGACTGCACAATTTTGGAATTATGAAGATGATGAAGAATATGATCGGCCCAGCTAAACAATTGCCTGGAAATGGAATCGCATCACAGGCGCCATCTCCTCACTCTTTCGCGTTCTTTATGTAAGTATTAAGCAGAGAAAGATTCTTTGTACAAAGGACGGCTTATCTTCATCCTCTTTTACTCTTTACACCCGTTTTCACATAATAATTCCAAATAAAAATTTTATATACGAGTAATACTACACATACATCATTCTCATACAACATTTCTCATACAACATTATGTGGCAAGATATGATTGGCTAATTTAAAGTTAAAATTAAGCTTTCACTCAATCATATCTTGCCACATAATGTTGTATAAGAAATGTTGTATGAAAATGATGTATGCATAGTATTATTCTTTATATACTTGTATAAATATTGTTTATACTTTATAATATTTAAAATATTAAATAAGTTATTTTGGGTATGATAATTGATGGTCAACCCTTTGGTCTTTTTAACTCCTCAATCCATCTTAATCCATCTTTCACTCTATCAAACCAGAAGAGTTGATTATAATAAGTTATTTTTAAATTTATAACTATTAGTTAATAATATAAATAAATTTTAAATGAGGGGTAAAATTGAAAATTTGTGTAAAATTTAGGAATTGAATAAAGATTCTTTCTCTAGAGGAAATAGCATATCATTCCATAATTTTGAAGGAAGGGACATATAATCAAATTCTCATTCCTTTGAAGCAAACATACCGTTAAAAAATTATTTACTTCAAAACATCAATGCACATCCAAATTTTCATCGAAGTTAATAGAAATAATTGACTTTGAACTTAATGTAGGGTAGATTATCCGCATAAATAGTTTACTTTTAAGACTTTGTAGTTGATGGTTATAATTATTGACAGATAACTAAAAAAGTTAGATCCAAACAGTAATGACAAAGGGGGAATTTAGGCTTACATAATATCCGTGATTTATCCCAAACTTATCTCATAACTTAAGAAAGAAGAAGTAATATTCAAATTAATTTAATGAAATCCATTTATGATACCATTCATGGAGTAACATTGTGATGGTATGATGGTAATTACAACTTCGCCTATGTGATGTGACTACAACTTGTATCCATATTAGGCATCCATTCTGTTGAAACATTGACAACATTATCTTTTTTTATTTTTTAATATGTTAAAAAACATTTATTGGTAGCAAATAAATGAAATAAAATATTTGATGATTTAAAATTATTGATACATATTAGTAGTAAATTATAGCTCACTGATTTATAATTAATTAAATACTAAAAAGAAGGAAGTAATAACCTTTGAAAAGCAAAAGCCGAGCTTAGTTAGTTGAAGCTAGTCAATTGAGACAGAGAGTTTGTTAAACGACAATTAACTAATTAAATAATCAGTATTTAATATTTAAACTGTTGCTCCATGCCTTTGATATCTATTCACAGGATCACAGCTCAAAGGACTTTTAACAGTAGAAAGAAATGTTAAAAAAGAAACGACAGAAAAAAAAGGAAAGAGTGAAAAAAGCAATACGGTGTAGGGGCAAATAAAGGCAATGGCGTTGTTGCCATTCTCAAGAGTTGCCAGGTAAAACCCGATTTCTATTGCTTCACTCCACTGTTAAGGGTTCAGCTCACTCTCTGCACTCACAATTCAATCTATTGTTTCTGCTCAATTGCTGCTTCTTTCTTCTTCCTTTATTCAATTTCCCTTCAAATTCCTCACTTCTATTACCGATTCTCTTGATTGTACGGTTTTAGTAGAAAGCGCTTCGGTGAGCTCCTTAATTTCCAGTAAATTATATTCAGTGGCTTGATCTACTCATTTTTTGTTACTCCTACCGTTGAAGATTCATAGTCAATTCATTTTTGTAATATTTATAAATTGCTGTATGTTGTTCTAGATGACAATCATATAATTCTATACTAGATTTGAGAGTCTTGCTTGTAGCATCTATTTCCTAATTTTTGGACATTAGAATTTTATTTTAAATTGTGGCCTAGAGTTATTATCTGTTAGATCTGACAAGCTTGTGTAAATAAATTATTCATTGCATTTCTTGTGAGTGGTATTTGAGTGTGTAGACTCTATACTACTTAGGAGTCAGAGTTTCCGATATTGGATGTTAGAGTCTTAACTTGATTAGCTGAACTACCAGACAATGCAAAGATATAAATGATTGAATTTGGTGAATTTTGCATGCTTGATATGATTTACTGCTTAAAGGAGATTTCCACCTGCTATATATATATGCTGAGTTTGCTGTTTTTCTTCAGTTTTGTATTTTCTATTATCAGAAATTGATTAAAATTCTGTAGTAAAAACACACTAGAATCTCTGATCTTTCTATAGTTAAGTTTTTGGAAGTTACAGGCTTGAAATTACAGTTGCTCTATACAGATCTGTGGTCAACTCTATAAATACTGTAGTTTCTAGCTGCAAATTTGAGATTATGTAGTTAAGATTGAACATTCTTGAGTCAAATTTCAGGAATTCAATTTTTAGAAATTGTGAAATAGTTCATATTGAGTTTGATGGCTAAAAATCTGCCTTATTTCCAGGAATATTTCTTCTGGAAATCAGATTTTCACATTGGCGATTTCAAAATCTTCCCATGACTAGACTATAGACTTCATAACCCTTTCTGTCTTAATGGGCATCCTAAAGATTAGGCAGCCAGAGGTTGGTGGCTTTTGTAAACAAATTTCTAACTTCAATGGTAAAGACATGAAGGTGGAAAAGAGCACAGTCTCCGATGTGGACTCAGAAGATGATTATGAGCTGGCAGAAGAGGGTTGTGAGCTTGGCATGGTGGAAGGGAAGCTGTGCAATATACCATATGAACTGTATGATTTGCCAGATTTAAGGGAAATATTATCTATGGAGACATGGAATTCATGTTTAACAGAGGAAGAAAGGTTCTTTCTCTCAGCTTACCTTCCAGATGTGGACCAGCAGACTTTTTGGCTGATCATGAAGGAGCTGCTTGGTGGTAGTGATATGCATTTTGGCAATCCTGTAGATATATTTTTCAAGAGATTGAAAGGTGGATTCTATCCTCCAAAGGTGGCTTCCTTCAGAGAATGTTCGCAATTTATGCAGAGGACAAAGTATTATCATTCTTTAAGATCTTACCATGACAAAATGGTGGAAATGTTCAAAGACATGAGCAAGCAGTGGAATCAGTATGAAATGAGCATTGGTGTTCAGGAAAGAATTGATACATGGAGAACTAGGAGAAAACAGGGGGGCAACAATTTGCTTGATCTGAATACAGTTCCTGAGGATAGTGACTTGTTAGGTGATGAGTCTAACAGTATTACACCTGTGCACCATTTGTCAAAGAAAATGAAGCTTGTAAGTAGTAACCCAGCTAACAATATCTTTCCCTCTCTATCTGCTGAAAGGATGAAATTTGTTACTCCAAACTGCAATGCAAAGGGGTTTCTCAAGTTAAAGACATCTCATAAAAGTTCACTCCAAAATCACAATCCAAAAATAACTGCTGCTGACGTATCTGAAAAATATCGATCTGAGCCAAAAGGTGTGCTGAAAGTAGTACCAAGGGTTCCTTCCATCCCACTAGAACATTCGAAAGTGATGCAGAGACAACTACAACCAATCATACTGGGCAGTAGCAAAAGTTTAGTTGATGGTAAAAACTCTTGTTTACCAGCATCTGTATCCTTCAGGGAGGAAGGTGCTCTAGGCGAATTCCCTTTTCTACAGCAGAAAGTTGGTGATGGTGATGTTCATATGGCTAAGAAGGAGCCTTGGTGTGTACTGAATCAGCAAGAAAGTGCTGTAAGAATCAGTAGATATTCAGAGAGTTCTACGTCGACAAGAATGGTAAAAAGGGAAATGAATCTGTCATTAGATGATACTGTTGATTTAGGAGAACAGAAACTATCCAGAAGCAATGTGGGAAGGGGTGTAAACGTTGAATCTGAGCCATTAATGGATACAATGGGTGCAAAGAGGTATTATTTTGGTGGAATGGGAAGTAAAGGAATTCCTGAGAGTTCCTTGACAAAATTTCCTTTTAAAATTCAGTGCTATGAAGGCATGTGGCAGATAAAACCAATGCAACAAGAGCATATTACTGTCAATCCAAGCATTCCGAACATGGTCCCGAGAATTTCGGATGTGGGTATCAGTAAGCAGGAAACAGAAGTGCCGTCTTCTTCAGATCAAATTAAGGGCCGGATTGATGTGAGTGTCAAAATTTCAGAGAACCTCTTTGGTAAACCCATTGTTTCAGAGGGGCTTAAAAATGAACCTGTGTTTCCTTTGACATACAAGCGAAGGAAGGCTCAAGTCAAGCATAACTCATTTGATTTCGGGAAGCCACTAACAGCAGGAGCTCATTTAAACTCTTCAAGCTCAAAGTAGTATCAATGTTGGAGGGAGAGCGCAAAAGCAGTGAAGATAAAGTTGATACGGTGGAAAAAACACGCCTGGAAAAGAGAGCTTAAAGAAACTTAGAGAGCTGAAGTAGAATATCAAACTTCATCTATGGTTTTGATAAAATAATTCATGTATTATATCCTTCGTCATATGTCAATCAATGTATATCGGTAAAAGAAAAAGCCCATCTTATGGGCAATCACATTATCCAACAATTTGTTACTGTCCTTCTATACATATACCCACAACTATATCCTAGATTCCTAGTTGGTTAACTGGCATTTTAGATTTATGTAGTCACGGTGAGCTAACAAATTGTTCAATCTGATGCAATCCAGGTTGGGAAAAGTTCTAATATGATATCGGCTTGCTCTGATGTGCATCCAGTACGTTAGATCATTGCGCTAGAGATGTTGATCTTATGTGTAGTTAAATACTCTTCTTGGACAATATTCTCAACGTTGATAGAAATGTCAACCAAGATTTCCACATGTCGTTAGCAGTACTGTCATTAGAGGTCAATTTATTATCCAGAGGTTGTAGTTAGCTATGAATTTAATCCCACCGGATTTCCTTAAGTTGTCTAAACCACCTCATGCAAATGGGCATGCTGTTCCAGTTCTCCCATTTTAGACTACTGAGTTCTTCGGTGACAGACAAGTATTTTCACCAACTTCATCATCGCCTTGCTTCCTTGTGGGATAATTTGGGCCTGAAAAAGTTAAAACAAAATTAAGAAATTGAGAAATTTGTATTTTAGAATTTGAGAATGTGGAAAAGAATATTAGAAATCAATTTTTTGTTTTTTTTTCAAAATAAAATTGCGGAAAATAACGGAGCTCAAATTGCTGAGTATTATAATTATTAAAGTTTTCCTTTAGAATTTGGAATTTTCATTTATTCATTTATTTATTATGGTTGTTGAATATTCAGATAAGCACTGTGGGCCCAAGGCAAAGGTAACCCTGATTTTCTTATCCAAACAACAGANCATGACAAAATGGTGGAAATGTTCAAAGACATGAGCAAGCAATGGAATCAGTATGAAATGAGCATTGGTGTTCAGGAAAGAATTCATACATGGAGAACTAGGAGAAAACAGGGGGGCAACAATTTGCTTGATCTGAATACAGTTCCTGAGGATAGTGACTTGTTAGGTGATGAGTCTAACAATATTACACCTGTGCACCATTTGTCGAAGAAAATGAAGCTTGTAAGTAGTAACCCAGCTAACAATATCTTTCCCTCTCTATCTGCTGAAAGGATGAAATTTGTTACTCCAAACTGCAAGGCAAAGGGGTTTCTCAAGTTAAAGACATCTCATAAAAGTTCACTCCAAAATCACAATCCAAAAATAACTGCTGCTGACGTATCTGAAAAATATCGATCTGAGCCAAAAGGTGTGCTGAAAGTAGTACCAAGGGTTCCTTCCATCCCACTAGAACATTCGAAAGTGATGCAGAGACAACTACAACCAATCATACTGGGCAGTAGCAAAAGTTTAGTTGATGGTAAAAACTCTTGTTTACCAGCATCTGTATCCTTCAGGGAGGCAGGTGCTCTAGGCGAATTCCCTTTTCTACAGCAGAAAGTTGGTGATGGTGATGTTCATATGGCTAAGAAGGAGCCTTGGTGTGTACTGAATCAGCAAGAAAGTGCTGTAAGAATCAGTAGATATTCAGAGAGTTCTACGTCGACAAGAATGGTAAAAAGGGAAATGAATCTGTCATTAGATGATACTGTTGATTTAGGAGAACAGAAACTATCCAGAAGCAATGTGGGAAGGGGTGTAAACGTTGAATCTGAGCCATTAATGGATACAATGGGTGCAAAGAGGTATTATTTTGGTGGAATGGGAAGTAAAGGAATTCCTGAGAGTTCCTTGACAAAATTTCCTTTTAAAATTCAGTGCTATGAAGGCATGTGGCAGATAAAACCAATGCAACAAGAGCATATTACTGTCAATCCAAGCATTCCGAACATGGTCCCGAGAATTTCGGATGTGGGTATCAGTAAGCAGGAAACAAAAGTGGCGTCTTCTTCAGATCAAATTAAAGGCCAGATTGATGTGAGTGTCAAAATTTCAGAGAACCTCTTTGGTAAACCCATTGTTTCAGAGGGGCTTAAAAATGAACCTGTGTTTCCCTTGACATACAAGCGAAGGAAGGCTCAAGTCAAGCATAACTCATTTGATTTCGGGAAGCCACTAACAGCAGGAGCTCATTTAAACTCTTCAAGCTCAAAGTAGTATCAATGTTGGAGGGAGAGCGCAAAAGCAGTGAAGATAAAGTTGATACGGTGGAAAAAACACGCCTGGAAAAGAGAGCTTAAAGAAACTTAGTGAGCTGAAGTAGAATATCAAACTTCATCTATGGTTTTGATAAAATAATTCATGTATTATATATCCTTCGTCATATGTCAATCAATGTATATTGGTAAAAGAAAAAGCCCATCTTGTGGGCAATCACATTATCCAACAATTTGTTACTGTCCTTCTATACATATACACGCAACTATATCCTAGATTCCTAGTTGGTTAACTGGCAATTTAGATTTATGTAGTCACGGTGAGCTAACAAATTGTTCAATCTGATGCAATCCAGGTTGGGAAAAGTTCTAATATGATATCGGCTTGCTCTGATGTGCATCCAGTACGTTAGATCATTGCGCTAGAGATGTTGATCTTATGTGTAGTTGAATACTCTTCTTGGACAATATTCTCAACGTTGATAGAAATGTCAACCAAGATTTCCACATGTCGTTAGCAGTACTGTCATTAGAGGTCAATTTATTATCCAGAGGTTGTAGTTAGCTATGAATTTAATCCCACCGGATTTCCTTAAGTTGTCTAAACCACCTCATGCAAATGGGCATGCTGTTCCAGTTCTCCCATTTTAGACTACTGAGTTCTTCGGTGACAGACAAGTATTTTCACCAACTTCATCATCGCCTTGTTTCCTTGTGGGATAATTTGGGCCTGAAAAAGTTAAAACAAAATTAAAAAATTGAGAAATTTGTATTTTAGAACTTGAGAATGTGGAAAAGAATATTAGAAATCGATTTTTTGTTTTTTTTTCAAAATAAAATTGCGGAAAATAACAGAGCTCAAATTGCTGAGTATTATAATTATTAAGTTTTCCTTTAGAATTTGGAATTTTCATTTATTCATTTATTTATTATGGTTGTTGAATATTCAGATAAGCACTGTGGGCCCAAGGCAAAGGTAACCCTGATTTTCTTATCCAAACAACAGAATTAGAGCCGCGTCACGCGTTTAATATGATTCTAACCGTTAATTTTTTCCGCTGGCGGTGTTCCAGCATCCTCTACTCAAAATTCAAAAACCTTTTAATATTTTTTTTTATTAAGGTTTGTTCAATGTTATCATGGCGAATTCTCTCTCCGTCGTCATCTCCAACGATGTATTGTTTATCTACAACTCATACTCTTTCTTGCACCACCATCACTCCTTCCAGAGATCCGACCGCCTCATTGAGATTGCCGGAAACATCCATGGATGAGCCATTAAAATCTGAGTCTAAACCAAAACCTAACAGTGATGTTATTGAATCGACTTCAAAGAAGACGAAAAAGGATGTGGCGCCAGGAGATCAAGATCAAGAAGGAGACGAACAAATTTCAATATCAAGAATTCAAGTGCCAAGACAGAAATACATCTCAGTTTCCAAAGCAGAGCTTTTGGACGCCATTGTATCAGTGATGTTCCATTCTCAAGATGATAGGGATCAGTTTCTCCTTATCGCCTCGTGAGTTAAATCATTATTTATGGTTTTTATTTTAATTCTAATTGTCCGCTTTCTTATTGAGCTCTTTTTCTAAATTTAACTGCAGGTGTCTGGATTCCATTCTTCATGCTGAACACAAGAGCATTTTGGAAGAAATGCGAAATGATTATTTCTTCACGGATTCCGCAGGCGATGAAGGATCAATTAGTTCGGACACAAAACTTGAGAATAATGGCAAAGAAAATAAGTCGGTTCATGTATTTAACACTGAAAACTCTGACCCGGATAGTGATATCATCAATAGGAACGGGCGCATAAATAAATATGTTGATGATGAAGGAGAGGAGACTGAACCAAATGAGTTATCACCTTTTAATTATGGTCTGGACTTATGGAATCTTATAGGTTCTGCAGCCAAAAATGTTGAGAAATATAACGAGTCCAGGTTTGTTATTGTTGTATTGATTTATATATTCGTTGTCTAAACAAATTTGTTGCACAGTTTTATGGGTTAGATTTTTACTTATCATGCAAAAACATTTTCAGACTTGCTGTTTCCACTCGTTTCCAGCGTGCTTTCATGCAACTGCTTAATAGTGCTCAGTTTGAAGAACTTTCAGCTACAGATTTGGTGTTGACATCTGCCTTAAACACAGATTATCTCCTAACTTTGCCAGTATACGTTGACTGGAAGAGGGCATCAGAATCTAATGCAATAATATTCAGGTAAATATGTAATAAGTACGTTTGTTGATTGCTGTTAATCCATTAGGAAAATTCATTGACTTGCTTATTAATGCAATGGCTAACACTTTAACCATACCATATTGAGGAATGCAATTAATTGGATGAGGGCAAGTTGGCTGGTCCAACCATCAAATGAATGATTGAAATAAGTAGCTTATAGGGAAAAACAACAAAGAGAATTTAAATAGCTACAAAGTTACTTACACCACTAATTATTTGCAGAATTTAGACTCTAATGTCTTTACATGCTTACTTGCCAAACAACCAAGGTAGATAGTTATTCACTTTTCTACTTTGGACTTCAAAATAGCATATGTTTAACGTGCTTTGTAATACAGGCGAGGTTATGCAACCGAGAGGCAGAAGGGCCTATTAATTGTTGAGAAATTGGATTACATACAATCCAGACTTCTGCAAAAGATCTTCTTTATTATCTCAAAACCATTGGAGAAAGTTGGCAAATGGATAAGTGAGGTCATACGCTTTTTTCCGTTTACTGCGTTGTGGCTGTTTATGGTTATGTACAATTATTAACCCTTCTTTCCCTGTATATGTACTCTCATTTATAATAATTACCTTAAAACATTTTACTTGAATGATTTTCACTTTTCTTCTAATCCAATGTCATTATATGCATTGTTCAAATTGATATTTTAAATACAAAATGCTTTATGGCAGACTCTCACAAATGCTTCTCAGACACAAGAAGTACAAGATATAATTAAGAGAACGAAGCTGTGGCTTAAGGAACTGTCTTTTTTTCAACAATCTTATTTTAGTAATGAAGAAACTTCTGATAGTCTGCTGGATGCAGACCAGCTTTCAGATGGTGAACTACCTATTTGGTTGGCAGCACAGAAGGCAGTTAGTCGTTATGAAGGTTTTCTGTCGCCTGTCGGACCACGTGGGAGGCTTTTGAGAAAACTGCTTACAAATATTGGATTTACTTCTCCTACACCGGAAACAACATTTCAACTTGAGGCTAATAGTAATGCATCTGAACCTTATTTAAGGTTTGTCCAATTAAATTTTTTGTTCTCTTCTTAACTCAACTATCTTTCAGTAATCTATTCTATTCTCTTCAGCTAATGGTAGGAGAAAAATTCAACTCTATTTTTGTAATTTGGTTGGCGATGTTAATGGTGATATGAACTTGGGAAATGTTTTAACAAATAATTGTCATATCATTGTTTCTTACAAGAAGAACCTAGATGGTGTATGTTTGCTCTCACGACTTGATTATATCTTTTAGGCTAGTGCGATTAATTTATTTTGACATGAATGAAATCTTGTTCAGTTAGTATCCAAGGCTTGTCTCGAGAAGGAAGACATGAGTTTGAACAACCCAAGGATGGTGTGCACTTAGGTTGGGATTGGTTTTTCACAAAAAGTCAATATTTTGTCCATCCGAAAAAAAAAGAAAAAAAAAAAAAGCATTTTATAATTATTTGATCGAAGTGATAGCACCAGTACGGATGGCCTTGGAGAATTAACTTTTCTTTGGAAATGTGAAGAGTTAGAAAATGCTGGAATTTACTGGACCACAGGATAACTTTGAAGGTCAATTTCATGTGGCATTCATATAAATAACAAACAGTGTTTTTCTTCAAGGTTTAACTAACTATTTTAGTTGGATATAATCCAAAATGGAGCTTTCTTATTTGAGTTGATGAAGTAATTTAGGAATTGTTCACCCAGACCAATTTCCTTATCAAGGATATCACTTAGTGATATATGGAGGCCTGCTTCAAGAAAATACTGTGGAAATGATCTTTGGAAAATGTTAAAAACTTCTGTATCCATTCTCCTCTCAAAATCAATACTTCAGGTATTCTTCATGTACACTGTGACTTGTCTTATATGATAAATTTCTCTAACTGTTTTATAAAATCTTTACTTTGGGATAGACGTTTTAAGTTTAATGATTATAGCCCTATAACAATGTGTACACCTCATGTGATTCTAAACTAAGTGGTATTAGATAGATCTTGTTCAATTTTCATTGTTGCTTGCCATTAATCGTCTCTTAACTTTGGCATCTTTCCTCATTAGGAGCCAGCATTTGAAGAATTGGTTTTGCTTTATACCAATGACATGGACAAAAAAGAAACTAAAGATAAAGCTGAAGGTCCACCATTGCAGTTAAAGATCTATAGGAGAATTCCTATTCCAGATTTACCTGTAAATACTTCTGACACTTCAAAGTCTGTTAATCTCTCTTACATCTCATGGTTGTCTCATTTACTTGTGCTCTTTTTTTTTTTTCTTCTTCTTCTTTCTCCTTTTTCCTTTTTTTTTTTTTTCTAATTACCTTTGCTTTTTCAAGTATTTACTTCCTATTCTCATTGTTTGCAAATTTTTTTGTAGGTTATATTTCCTCATAAGAAGCTATCTTTCCGTATCATTGACACAGTAAGGAGAGGCTGAATATATATTCCTTGCATTATTGATATGTTTTAATTGATGCTCTGAATACCATTCATATCACCCCATGTGGAACCAGAAGTTGATAGAATTCAGTGGAATTTTGTCAAATAAAATCGAATTAAACTGATTTGCAAATGACATTGCTTGTATGCTCTAAATATGAAATCAACTATAACAGAATTATAATAATATTAATATGGATTACATTGTTTAGTATTATGGATTCATCTTTCCTTTGTCATCATTAGACGGTTCTGCTTGGTTGGGCGGTTGGACCAGATATTTTGAAAACCTGGGCTGGTGGTGAAGAAATAAATTTATGGACTCTGCTTGTGTAGATTGTATGGAGTTGAATGTTTCAGTTAGGAACAATGTTGGATTACCTTAATTACTGAAATTATATATTGAGAGGTGTGCGGTCACATGTTACTGCTTGACATCATAGTACTGAGCAGCTGAAAAAAAGTAGCAATGGTAGGTTCTGCATGCCTTAAAAACTTAGTCACAGTTAAACCCAAGTACATGTTGAGAAGTGGATAGTGTTACACCAGATCTTATTGATGCTTTTGAAATTAGCGATGGGATAAGTTGTTCAGTAATACTACACTCATTAACCCTTCTCACTAACTTTCTTTCACAAATACGACATGTTAGTTTTAATTGGTCAGCTTGCAATGGGTCTCGCCTGATCAAATGCGAATTGACCAACTGCAAGCTACCACATCAGCGTTTGTGAGAAGTATTTGTGAACCTATCTTTGTTCTAAGTTGTTACATCATACTTTGTAGGTTGTTTTTTTAGAACTTTGCCTCTTAACTTGATCATGTGGACTGTTTGTAGGTGCGCTTGGATGTTGCCACAATTGTGGGTCTTCTGGCGTTTATCATAAACTACAAATTTGAGGACATCTTATCTTCCCCGTATGTTTGCTTTCATTTTATATGATTTATTTTTGGTTTTTTAGCACTTAAATATGAAAGATAATTATTCTAGCAATATCTCAATCTTGATCCAAGGAAGATGATGAACAAGGGTATAGGAGTTTGTCAATTTTTCATTTTTCACGGTCCTGTCTAATAGAAGACTTGGAATTGACCCTGTTTTTATCATTGTATTTTGTGTGTTTCTGAAATGATCAAATAGTTTCAACGTGGAGTCAAGAATTCATTTATGCTATTTTTCTCTCTCTTTTCCTCCCTTTATCGGATGACGGTGACACTTCAAAAACATCTTTTTGTTTCAAGTTACGTGTCATTCAGGTTTTCTAATGAAATTGAATAGTTGCAGTTGATTTAAACAATCATCATAACATTATATTTTTATCCAATACAGATCAGCATTACTTCTCGATGTAATTGCTATCTCTGCTCTTATATTATATATCACCCGTGTGGTTTTGGGTTATAAACAGACACGAGATAGGTATGAGGTGAGTAAACCAAATTAACTACCTTTCAGTTTTGGAGATTATTGTTTTTATATCATGCAGATAATCAGATTAAATAATATCTTGATGGAATTTATTATTTCAGCTGTTGGTTAACAAGACACTTTATGAGAAAACCTTGGCAAGTGGATTTGGCTCAATTCATTTTCTTCTGGATGCCTCTGAACAGCAGCAAGTGAGGAACTCTTTTGATTTATTTAGTTTTTAAGAATCGCAAAGAGAAAGTTTAAGTTTAATCCAAACGTAAAATTTGATTATGCTATACTATGGGTTTCATAAAATTGAGAGAAATATTACAAGGACTTCTTTTTTTTTTTTTTTTTTTTTTTTTTTTTTGCAAATCTGATTTCAAATATAAATTTTGAATCAGTTTTTGGTTACTATTCCAGTGAATTTTGAAAATTGAATAAGAAATATCATTCGGTGTAATCTCACTATGTGGTTCAAATGTTAATTTCTAAGGGAGAAATTTTCCATTATTCTAGATGTGACAAGATCTTACTTGCATGGTAGATCACTAGATCATCTTGATGTTTGCTGACTGCTGTGAGCTAGTATTGAAGACGAATAGGCTACTCGACTGCTTGGCTTAATATAAATGATGTGAAATTGTTGGGAAACAAAGATAACTAATAGGAAGAAATAGAAATTCCTCCTCTCTTTTTCTACAATGAATTTCTATATTGATTTTTTTTTTTCTCGTTATTTATTGTGTGCAGTACAAGGAGGCCATTTTGACCTATGCTATCCTGCTTAAAGAAGAGAGTTGCCAGGTTTGCCCTTCCCATCCCATCATGCGTTAAAATTATCTGGTGATGGTGCAAGTCAATTTGCCTTTTGGTTTGTATGTGATAATGTGTGGTTGGAGTAGACAAATACTGTGATGTTGGTTTAATACTAATCTGCCAATTACAAGTTTGGGTTATTTGATTAACACCTACTTTTCCTAAGAAGATTCTGTTACTTGTGAGTTTCGTTCACGGCGAGATTTTTCTAGTTGCAGGGCACCTGTCGTCAGATTGTTGGAGACAAATGTGAGAAATTTATGTACGATGTTCTTAAAGAGAAGGTAAAATATACTGAGGTCACTCCTAGTAAACCTGCTCATTTATTTTAAATTATTCATTGGGTTGACGTGAATGCAGGTTGAAATGCCGATTGATAAGGCAGTGAATTTATTGGTAAGGTTGGGCATGGTGTCGGAAACATCCATTGATGGAAGATCTCATTTGCAGGCAACACCATGCTCCGAGGCTTGCGAGGCCCTTAAGGAACGTTGGAATGGTTTGCTAGGATAACTTATTGTTATCAATTGCGACATCATATTACACAGTATATATTAATTTTGAAGGAACATCCATCAGAAAATTGGTTATCTTTGTTGAGGAAGTATATTATGGGAAAGGTATAGATGGTTTGTAAAAGATATTATTAGTGGTGCGATCTTGTAATCATGTATTACTTGGGCTACCATACAGCTTCAAAAACACGCTACTGAGAATATAAATTGACATCAATTAGAGCATTCAAAGAAGAAACGGAACATAGTATTGGGCAAGTATAACCTTAAGAGCTTTTTCCTTTCCTTTTTTAATTTTTACACCATGACAGCAAAGGACAAGGATATTGGACATTTCTTTATTTCTGGGCAGAGCTAAGTTCTCTTGCAGTGCTTGGACAATCTACAGTGAAAAGTATTTGCTTCAATTCCTTGAATCCACGAACCTCTGTTCCCGGTCTTTCTTACTTCTTAAATCAAGGTTTTTTGGGCGTACAAAAGTGTTGGTAGGTGTAAGCGATTAATCAAATAATCAAAGTTGTTTTGTGCCTCACAAGTAAAGGGGTTGAGCTTTGGTGAAAACAAACATGCCTCCACCTCCAACTGCACGACCTAAAAGCATATTTCTGTCCAGGTAGGAAAGGTAATATAATCCTCCAACTGATTGCCTGTAATACGTGTATCAATTTTTACATGTACATACAAGAAGCATAAGTTTAGCACTTTAAAACAATTTAATGATAATTACCTCCCTGGATTTGGATTTGTCACAGGAATTTGAGCTTTAAATGTGCGCAGAAATTGCAAAATCTGCATATAAACGATTCACGCAACTCTCAAACAAAAGATCTCCATTAATGGTTGCCACACAAAAGGCACTTCATTTGCACTAAATTAGTTTCATTAACTTAACCCAATGACTTGCATCAGTGTCATCAAGCTGAATTTTTTAAAATATACTGAATTTTTTAAAATANTATAAATTGACATCAATTAGAGCATTCAAAGAAGAAACGGAACATAGTATTGGGCAAGTATAACCTTAAGAGCTTTTTCCTTTCCTTTTTTAATTTTTACACCATGACAGCAAAGGACAAGGATATTGGACATTTCTTTATTTCTGGGCAGAGCTAAGTTCTCTTGCAGTGCTTGGACAATCTACAGTGAAAAGTATTTGCTTCAATTCCTTGAATCCACGAACCTCTGTTCCCGGTCTTTCTTACTTCTTAAATCAAGGTTTTTTGGGCGTACAAAAGTGTTGGTAGGTGTAAGCGATTAATCAAATAATCAAAGTTGTTTTGTGCCTCACAAGTAAAGGGGTTGAGCTTTGGTGAAAACAAACATGCCTCCACCTCCAACTGCACGACCTAAAAGCATATTTCTGTCCAGGTAGGAAAGGTAATATAATCCTCCAACTGATTGCCTGTAATACGTGTATCAATTTTTACATGTACATACAAGAAGCATAAGTTTAGCACTTTAAAACAATTTAATGATAATTACCTCCCTGGATTTGGATTTGTCACAGGAATTTGAGCTTTAAATGTGCGCAGAAATTGCAAAATCTGCATATAAACGATTCACGCAACTCTCAAACAAAAGATCTCCATTAATGGTTGCCACACAAAAGGCACTTCATTTGCACTAAATTAGTTTCATTAACTTAACCCAATGACTTGCATCAGTGTCATCAAGCTGAATTTTTTAAAATATACTGAATTTTTTAAAATACAGAAGAATATATATATATTTGCAATGAAAAACTTATGCAGAGTAAGTAATTTGTTGAAGATTCAAAGAGGATAGAACTTCATAATCGGAGTGGGCTTCATATAAACAACAACTGGCACCCAAATATCAGATGTACAAGATTCCATGCAAAAAAACTTAAGTACCTGTAAACTTAAAAATGACCGTGGCAGTATTGCTGGAGCTATTATAGCTTGCAGCTCCTCACTGATGTTTATATCCTGAACAGAAATCTGCAAATGCATTTCACAGACTTCAAAAAAAAAAGTTCTTCTTTTTAAACACCAAAAAGCTACCTATGCAGCAATTAAGGATTCAGAGAAACATAATCTCCAGGTTCACCAACTCAATGTAAAGGACCAAGAAATTTATAGATCTCAAGATGTGGCTTGTTATTATATTGTGTGCATAAATGTAAGAATGAGTATGATAGCATTCATCACAAAGAACTTACATACCAATACAGGTTATTCAAGAAGATAATGGAGCATTTACTATCAATTCAGTCACACCTTCAACCTCATTAAACTTTTGTTACTCAAATGATAAATCTATGTCCAATATGAAATAAATGGTTAATCATAGGGACCAAGTAATGCCACAAATACTGTTTTCTGAATCCTACTGGATAATAGGAAACATTTCAGGTCATATACCTCAACCTTTTGTAAGTCATGTTTCATGAAGGGCTGAGAAGCTGACCTCTTCAAACTGAAGGTAGATATTCCGAACAGAAACAACATTAAATTTTGCAGAAACAACCAGAGTAGCACCTTCTTCTTCCTGTATATGAAAATATTTTATATATAAAAGTTCTTCAACGGGAGAGAGAAAATAGGTACATGAAAATGACTGAACAAATACTGTAACAACACAGTCACGAAACAGTTATTTCAAAATTTCGAGTATCAACTCAGAAAATCTAGTATTGAGAAATAAGTCAAGATCTATTATTATGGCACAAGTTGATTAACATTCAAGATATGACAGTGGAAGCAAGGTGAAAGCTCACCTCTAACAATGTTGGAACACTCCAGCGAACAACATTACGGATGATCCCACCATCAGATTTATCCCGGCATTCAAATTTCTGGAAGATCTGCCCAACCTACACCCACATTCATGCACAAACTTATGATACAGCAGACATCAAGATTTAGACATTTAAAATAAACCAATAAAACTACAACAACAATAAGGAGAAAATAATCAATCTATCTATCAAGTGACATTTGACAAAATTATGACATAAGGCAAGCCAGGCCACTTAATCTCGTAGCTTTTGGCGACAAAATCAAGATATGAAGCATTGAATCAGGACCTAAAATCGGATATCTATTCAGATAAAAAGACTTCAAGCAAAGCTATATTCATATTTAACAAAGTACACAAATGGCAGAACATCATAGATCAACTCAGTCTGAGAATTCTTAGCAATCTTTATTTTCTAATTAGCAAAATAAACAAATCGTTAAATTCAGTTCACACCAAAATATTAGGCAAAATACTGCACAACTATAGAGGAAGCATTTGTTATTACATTTTCATGATTAGTACCTGAAAGAATGGAAGCCTTGCAGCAGCTTCCAGAAGAATGAGGACGTCAGGAGCAGAAGTATACTGCAGGCGCCATGTTCCATCCAACTTTTCTAGATCTATCGGCTCACCCATGTTGTATCCCTCCACACTCACCTGCCATATGCACATAAATATGCAATAATTTTTGCTTCCACTGATTTGCTCATTTTTCTGAGCATCTAAACAAGAGCGGTAAAAAAGAGGAGAGGGAGTTTAGGGTTAAGACATTAGGAAATAAAGAGGATGCTTGGGATAAAGAAAAGGCAAGCACACCAGAGCCTCCTCAATTACAGAGCGTTGATCGGGAGTGGCAACAAGACCTCTTTGTGTGTCCTGAATAGTGTTCAACAGATTGTGTTTTTTGTTCTCTAACTCAAACTCAGGTGCCTGAAACCCTAATAGGCCAATTAGTCTGCAAGATGATAACATGTGCATGCATAGATATAGAAGAGTAGAAGAAGATGAACCTGAGTCCTCTCGATGGTTAGAGTAGCTGAACATGACAACTTCTTGTGACTAGGCAATTTTCTGGTGGCAGTCAGGTTAGAATTAAAAGGCTTTATGTTGCAAAGGAGTCCCTCTCCAGTCGCAACGCGCAATGAAAAAGCAAATGCAAGGGCCATATCTGCAGAGATGGCCAAAAATTAAAATAATGGATTCCAGCTATAGCATAACAAAATGAACATATTGCCAATTTGGTTAATCCTGTCATTCATCAACTTATTGTCGATTTTCCTAAACCGAATTTTTTTTTAATGGAAATTTACAAAATCCTTAACCAATGAAAAGAACACAATTCTTATAGAGATATGACATATCTAAATGAGGCAAGCAAGCAAATTGACTGGTAGTGTGAGTGGGTATGATAGAACTTCAAGAATGGAGAAAGGACTAGCAGCAGAGTAACCAGAACCACATACCTGCTACTGCCACCACGGGATCCAGCGGTGATGAAATTTTTAAAAGAATAAAATTATCCTGTGTGTTTACACAGAAGGAACACGTATGTCATCTTCATTCATAAATAAAAAGAAAAAGGAAAAAACCCGGAAATTTTTTTTTTTAATAATCTATTATTAGTTTTCTACATGATAAAACTAAATAGTAAATATCACTGATGTACTTTACTTGAAGAATTAACTTGCCACGCCTTGAAAAAAAAAAAAAAAAGTTGAACACCACTTAGCCCGACGGACCCGGCCCACTATAGGCACTTACAAGAATTCGTGCGAGCAGGCGGTACTAACGCACTAACACCACACTATCGTTGCTAAGTGCTCGAGTCTTTCACTTCCCCTTGAAATAAATGGCGAGTAGCTTGGAGGTGGGTCGTTTTGCTTTTGTTTTACTGAAAACGGAAAACAGAGTTGCGAGATTTCGCTCCTCCTTGCCTGCAAGTTGCAGAGCTTCCAAGTTTAATAATGTTTGGACAAGAAATTGCTCCGTTTCTTCTGCCAATCCATTCATTGTTGCCGATAACGAAAAATATGGCAACAAACAGATTATCAGTATCACTCCTCGTCTTTACGACTACATCCTCCAAAATGTTCGCGAGCCCAAGGTACTTTTACGTTAACACCCTCAATTGCATTACTAATACTCATAAACTGTGTCGTTTTGAACTCTTGTCTATCTGGCTTGCTGTGTTTCAGGTGCTACGGCAACTTCGTGAGGAGACTGCCAGCATGCGTGGTAGCCAGATGCAGGTACCTTACTAGTTCTTGAGGAGTCAAATTAAAACAAAACAGTCAAGTCTTGCTAAGTATTTTGTGTAATATTGATAGGCGTCTCCTGATCAAGCACAACTGCTTGCTATGCTTGTTCAAATTCTTGGGGCACAACGCTGTATAGAAGTCGGTGTTTATACTGTAGGTATTAATGAATTAGTATTGATTATTGTCAAGCTAGCTTTAAATTTTCACTTCACATCTTTTATTCTCTGTCTTTTTTTTTTTTTTTTTTTGGCAAAATTTTTAACTTATAATAATTAATATATGAATTTAATGCTGTTAATATGAAAATTAAATTTATATCTCTGTAGGGATACTCATCATTGGCTATTGCATTAGTTCTACCTGAATCAGGTTGTCTGGTGGCCTGTGAAAGAGATGCTAGATCTCTTGATGTTGCTAAAAAGTATTATGAGCTAGCGGGTGTTTCACACAAGGTCATTTATTTCTCTTTTGTCAAGTTACAATTATGTTATAATGCATGTCTCTGACTAATAATAGAGACTCAGCCTTATACAACTGCCTCGTTTTACTTTTTCCTGTGGTGATATCTTTATAGCTCTGAAATGATTTGTTGATATTAGGTAAATGTTAAACATGGACTAGCAGCAGATGCCCTAAAATCTCTGATTCTGAATGGTGAAGCTTCCAGGTGAATGTAGTCCCTCCCTAAAGCATAAGACGAAGTTATTAGGCTCATCTTACCCCATTTTTCTTAGAAAACAGTAGTCCATTGGTGATAGTTCTCCTTTTCTCCCATGAATTGAGTTTTTTTTTAGTGACTAGCTGTTGCTTCCTCCTTTTTTTTTTTTTTTTTTTTTTGGTCCGCCATGAATATGAAGAAGAAAACAACATAACATTAATTCTTTTATATATTGTCTCTTTTATGCAGCTATGATTTTGCATTTGTTGATGCTGAAAAGCGAATGTATCAGGAATACTTTGAATTGTTACTACAGCTGGTAAGACTGATGTATAATATTTGAAAAATCTGTTTGAGACTATCTCGATTCCTTTGTTAGATAATTTCTCTCACTTCCCTCACCACAAGACTGTAAGGATGTAATTGGTTATCTGTTGTTGCAGGTTAGAGTTGGAGGAGTGATTGTGATTGATAATGTCCTTTGGCATGGAAAAGTTGCTGATCCAATGGTAACTCTGTTGACTATAATTATGAGCTTTAGCCATTAAATGTATAACCTACTTTCTAATGACTCTTTTCAGCAGGTAAATGATAATAAGACTATCAGCATTAGGAATTTCAATGAAAGTCTAATGGAGGACAAGCGTGTGAGCATCAGTATGGTGGGTATTTGTGTTCTTTGTTAACATTCTACAACTTTTAGAGACCTTTTACAGTTGATCCATTATTCTTAATTTTTGGAATGTTAGGTACCCATTGGAGATGGCATGACGATCTGCCGGAAACTATGACCTGTAGCCAAAGCTGACAATAGTTCTTGATTCTGAGACTTGTTCCTTAAGGGAACTGTTGGAAGCATGTTGTGCAATAAGTACTTCGAGGATAGCTACTATATTTCTGTTCCAAGTTATGATCAATTTAGCAGTTTCCATAAACGTTTTGCATATCCACAAAGAAGCACGTCAAATGGGGTTTAACCATATGCAGGCCTTGCAGTGTACTTTAAGGATGGCTACTATAGTGGAAATGGAACTCCTAAATTGAAATGGCTTTTGATGTATGCTCCTAACTGTAAATTTTGTTCCCAAGTAAGAAGCCGGGATGAGGAATTTGGAGATTGACGTTGTGCACGGGGCATTGTGGATTGTTGTTGTTTCCGTTTTGAAGAATAACGATTTAAAAAAAAAATTCTTGTCAGCAGATGTTGGAAAGAGAGTGAAATGTTCAAGAGAATAGTCTCAAATGTTTCCCCATTCAATGTCATTGTTGCTTGTAGAACTCATCAGGCCTTAAACAAAGTGCAAAATATATTTCTGCTGTCTTTCTCATGTCTTCGTCAGAAAACGTTCTGGAGATGTGAATTATGTATATTAACATAAAGTACCAACTTATGATAACGATAAGAAGAGTATTCACTGGACTCAACAAAAAGTTAGATGCATACTGATTCAATTACCAACTTATGATAAGCTGTAATAAAGAGAATAAAACTGGTCGATACAAAACTAGAAACTAAATTGTAAGCCTTAGGTACCAACGGAAGAAAACCACTTGAACAAGAAGAAGAATGCCCATCCAAATGTTTAGCTGACGGCAGATCCAATGTTAACCTCCCTAGTATAAAACACCATCTCTTGATCTTAATCTCTGGAGAAAAATCATGGGATTTCAAGGCGATGGGGAAGCATCAACTGGACCAGTATCAACAAGACGACCTTTTTTTAGGTACACCTTTGGTGCAAGTTACGTTGATTGGTCTGGTATGTTTCTGCTGCCCAGGCATGTTCAACGCCCTCGCTGGCATGGGAGGTGGTGGGCAAGTTGACCCAACTGCAGCCAATAATGCCAATACTGCCCTTTACGTAACCTTTTCCATCTTTGGAGTTCTGGGTGGTGGCATTTATAACATTCTTGGACCGCGATTCACCCTTGCTCCAGGTTGCTTAACCTACGTCCTTTATGCAGGCTCTTTCCTTTATTATAACCACCACCAAGACCAGAGCTTTGCCATTGTTGCTGGCGCTGTGCTTGACTGCTTGGTATCGGTGCAGGCATTCTCTGGGCTGGAGAAGGCGCTATCATGACCTCTTATCCCACCCCTAATCGAAAGGGGACATATACATCTCTGTTTTGGAGTATTTTTAACATGGGTGGTGTCATTGGTGGCCTCATTCCTTTCATTCTAAATTACCACTGCATTGAAGCTGAATCTGTTAATGACAAGACCTATATTGCATTCATGTTTTTCATGTTTGCTGGTGCACTTCTTTCACTGGCAATATTGCATCCTAGTCGTGTGGTTAGAGATGACGGCACCCGCTGCACCAACATTACATATTCAAATGTTTACACTGAAGCCGTTGAGATTGTGAAGCTGTTTCTTAATTGGAAGTTGCTTCTCATTGTCCCAGCGGCATGGGCTAGCAATTTTTTGTACAGCTACCAGTTCAATAATGTTAATGGGTTGATGTACAATTTGAGGACTAGGGGATTGAACAACGTATTCTATTGGGGTGCACAAATGCTGGGGTCGGTTGGAATTGGGTACTTGTTGGACTTCAGTCTTGAGAGTAGAAGGAAAAGGGCTATGGTTTGTATTGGAATTGTTGCTTTGCTTGGGACTGCAATATGGGGAGGTGGCCTTGCCAGTCAATTGAATTACTCACGTCATGATCTGCCTAAACGATTGGATTTCAAAACCTGTGGGAATGATTTTGCCGGACCATTTGTTTTGTATTTCAGCTATGGGTTACTAGATGCCATGTTTCAAACCATGGTTTATTGGGTGATTGGAGCTCTGGCTGACGATTCCGAGACCCTTAGCAGGTACTCGTTGTTTCATTTTTTGTTAGCTAGTCACAGAAGAGACTAACAAGAATCATTGACCCTGTGAATTACAGGTATAATGGCTTCTATAATGGAGTACAAAGTGCACGATCGGCAGTTGCTTGGCAAGTCGACTCACACAAGGTCCCCTTGCTCTCACAGCTGATTGTAAATTTGTCACTCACCACTGTGAGCTATCCATTACTGCTTGTCCTGGTCATGTTGGCTGTAAAGGATGATGACAAATCTAGAGAAGCTGACAATGATTTTGCTCCGTCCGCTGCCCAAATTCCTGGAGATAATGGTTATAATCAGCTTAAAACCTCTACCTGACATCCATCATCACACATAATATTTTCCCACAGGAAACCCTTTGTTATGGCACCAAAATTTTTGGTGTTGGAATCTGATTGTTTTGGAACGAGTGTTCAGCGGTTTAATCAAATTTTTATATTGTAAAACATGTGCCTCAAGCCTCGGTAAAGTACTAAATACTAATACACAGCACATGATTTTATATACCTACAATTTTGCAGTGAGAATAAAACCATAACAGAACTTTAGAAAAATGGCAGTCCTAGTCCATGATAATTCGTTCACATAATAGGACTGGAATATTTGATTTAGTTATGAAATTTAACCATGCATCACATCCTCATCTATTCGTACATCTTCGTTCTAAAGTTATCCGGGGTCTGGCCATTCAGGTCATCTGCAACATGTCAGCATTTGGTACAAAAATTTGCATTTAAATGCTATGCAAAGACAATATACTAAATCAACTTTCAATAAGAGTTCGACACGCTCACCATAGAATTCACATACTCTAATAACAACATAAACTTGGCTGGAACATAACTTCCTACAAGTGAGATCCTTCTCAGCTGAAACAACTAAAAATTTACAGGAAAGCGATTTGCATAAAGTGATGCTATTAGAATTGTATACTTTGCCTTAAGTGTTATTGTCTTGATGAATATTCTAATTGCCACTCAATTATCTTGATTATCTTGGCCATGGCCATTAATTTGGTTATCCTCATCAGCTCCATTAAAATCTCGTCCATCTCCATAATTAACCCAAGGTAGCATTGACTCAAACAAGACAGCCAAAGGATTGCGATTTGCCACATCGCGTAGAGGAGGAGCTTGGTCACCATCAAGTGGATTAGCAAATTGCCCATTATGCACAGCTTCCCCCATCCTCGCATCAACCACAAAGTTTTGCAGGTTATCAGGTGGAAGAGTTGGTACCGAATCAGAAAAATCTTGTACCATCAAATGACCATACCTGGCAAAAACAAGAAAAAAATCATGCAAACTCCAAAGCAAACAATGACATTTTACTGACATAATTTTTAATGCAGATTGTGTGAGTTCTAGCATAATATAATCTATAAATCTAGAGTTGGACAAACATAGGATCCAGCTTAATATTTATTCAATACCAATGCCAATTCATCTAACTAATTCTTTGACATCAAACCTATAAATTAAAGATTCAGCACATAATAATAAAACTAAAGCCAGCATACAAGCATTCTACAGTAAAAAAACACATTTTATAATTTTTGCCCGACAAACAAACATAACCACTAATATTGAAATACTCACTCATTTTTTTCAGATGGAAATGCTTCTTCTCTTACACAAGCCCAATCCTTAGCTTCACTTTTATTGTCTTCTAAAGTTTCAATCACCAGTTGTGCGGTGTCTCGGAGCAATTTTTGCAGATCCGGAAGCCTCCATATAATATAGCTCCTCTCCACATATATGCTGATCAGATGATCCAATGATGGGATCTTTGTTTGATCTGAATGGAAATAAGTGTGCTTGAGTATATTTGTCCACGCCTGATCTTTTAGAGGTACCTTTGCCACAAGTTTCTTAAGGACAGAAGGGTGAAGCATCAAAGCTTGCTTCATAAGATCAGCTGAAGTAGCCTTTCCAGTATCTATATCAGCATTTTGTGATGTTTCCTCCCGCTCAAGATAAAATCGGCAAACAGAAAGGGAATATGAGAAATTTGGGAACAACCACAAGGAGTTATCACTCTTATAGTTTTCAGAGAATTGCTCCAACCATGCATACTCCCCTGCCCTCAAAGCAAAGTAGTCAATGCAGAATAAGGCCCCCATTGGATCATCTGAATCAAGTGAAAGCAGTAGTTTGCACACTTCTAGGGCAGATCGATGACAGCCACGTCTATCCATGTTTATCATGTGAATGAAAAGGGATTTGAACAAAGGTTTGTTTGTTTCATGGCTGATTTTCAATTGGCAATTAGCCTGCAAGGGAGTGAACATGGGATGCCATGCACATTCTAGGGCATATAAACACTTTGCAACCGCATCAGCAGCCATTTGATGTTCACCCACAAATTTGAAATAATCTGCCATTGTTATCAATGAATCCAAATGATAAGGATGATACAGCAAAACACTTGCTACACTGTTAAGATCATGAATAGCTTGGGCAGCTTCAAATGCTCTCTGAGCTTGACCATAAGAAGGAGAATGGACATATCTACACAAAATGATAAAAAGCAAGAAAAAGCAAATATGTAAGATCACTAAAACCAGAAAAAAAGAAAAAAAATAAAAAGCAAGAAAAAGCAAATATGTAAGATCACTAAAACCAGAAAAAAAGAAAAAAAAGAAAAAAAAAAGATGTTACTATTATTAACATATACTATAAGCATTTATGGATAATTTAAGTGCAGAATGATATATGGCATAAACAAAATTGGTGCGTTGGCAATAATGAACTTACTAAAAGTTGATCTTGATGCACAATAATTATTTAAAGTTGCCAAATTACAATCCAAATACTTCTCTGCAACACTCATTATAAGAGTAACTGCCTATACTTCCTAATAAAATGCAGATAACTAAACTGACTTAGATGAATAACTGTCCATAGACAAGTTATTGCTCACATGCAGGTCCATTATTGCTTGAATGTCTATCGTATGAATAATTAAAATACAAAAGAAAAGAAACTTCCAAAAATAACTTAACTTAAACTTGACCTAGAAAAAACACCATGAAGAAGAGAGAGCATTCAGACGTGTAAAAACTGAAATGTGGTGACAGCAACCAATAAGGCCGACGTAGACACTTACCTGAAGTAACTATATCCATCCCTAGTTTCCAAAAATTCCATGAAAAATGATCCATCCCACCGAGGCCATTGGTCTGATGAAGAGACTAAGACAGTCTTTCTTATATGATGACTTCCACGTCTTCCCCCACGTACCTGTCTAGAACTGCCACTTTGATGACTTCTCTCAAATGACTTCACCACCTTGGATCCAAATATTCTTCGGAGCTCATTTTCAACATTCAAATATTTGGGATCTACTTGTAATATGAACACTGATTGCTGTTTGACAAAGTTATCGTGAGCTTTAGCATTTTGTAGTTTGACATTTATAGGGCCAGGTTGATGACTAGAAGAGTTAGTGTCCAAAGATAAATTATCTAAGGCTGCATCCAATGATCTTTCAACTCTATCTGTACTCGAAGTAGAGCTCTCCTTGCTTTTCTTCTTTTTCTTTTTCT